GTCGGCTCGGCGGTGCGCTTTTTATTTGAACTCTGTTAGGCTGGCCAGTGCTATTATAGGTGCTATTATAGTCAGGGTCAGAATTAGTCGGCGAAATCCAGCTCTGTTGTCGCCGAATTGTCATGAGGCACGCAGAAGTTCGAAATGTTGGTCGAGAGGTTCTGACACTCGGCATCCGCATAAAGCTCAACTTCCCCCCCCAAACCGAGTTAGTAGCCGTTTATTTTCTTCAAAACGTTCCAACCCATTCACTTTTTCTTCTTTTTTTGTTTTTTTTGCCCCAACAAAGATAAGGGTAAAAAAACTCACAGTAGAAATTGCACGTAATACCGTTGGCAGAAAACTTTTTGTACGTCGAATTTCCAATTCCCAAGGGCATCTGTTCGCACTTGTTGAGGTATTCGGGAGGGATGGACATTTCCTGGCCGCGCAGGGTGCCCGTCTCGGCCTGGAGGGGATCACCTGTGCAATTAGAGTCGGGGTCGTAGAACATCTTGATGTCGCCTATGATCGCGGTCGCGTTGGCGGTGGCGGCGAGGGCCATGAGGCCGGCGGTGAGGGTGGTGAGCTGCATTTTCGGGGGTGTCTTTGGACGTGCGTGTGCCGATGGAGCTTTGTTGAACCAAAAAGTCTGAAGGTCTACACCTTGACGAGAAGAGCGCCCCTTTTGGTATTTAAGCTCGTTTATGCGGTAAGGTCACTCTCATTGCGCCGGTTGGGGTTGCCATTGCTGTCGTCGTTGTGGAACTGCCTGACTATATTGATGTGGAACTCCTACGGTTATGGGAAGCTTGGCGGTCTTCTCCCCTCCAACCCTCCATTGATCTGTCAAAACAAGGTTTGCTCAAGGCTCGTATTTTCTGATTTATTTTTGCTCATGCTGAAATTTCCCCCGCCGGCCTTCCCGTTCATCCAGTGAATGACATCCGCTTTATACAAGGATGGCACTGTCAAAACCGGCGACTCCTCCAGGTTTAAGGTTTTTGGTCGTGACCGAGACCGAGATGTTTGGCATTGCGGCTCCGTATGAAAAGGACTAGATATTCGGATTTGTCTTGCGTACTTCCTCGAGATCGAGCGAGGAACGTTTCACTGGATAGAGGAGTCACCGGCAATACTGAAATCTCTCTCAACACTAATTCATTACGGACTACCATCTTCTTCGTCGAGAAGAAGCATCCGAGGTTTACGCGTCAAGTTTTTAGTTCTTCAACGCCAGCGATCATAAAGCCAGTCTTCTCTCCCACTTCAAGTCACAAGCCTTCATTAACGTTCAAATACTTAAACTTGCCATTGAACTCACGCTTACCAATACGCCGCCGTCCCAACTGACAAACCCGTCACCTCAAAGTCAAAAAGAATTAATCCTCTGCTCTCTCGACAGGTGAATAGTCAAAAATGATTGGCCAATGGCTCAAGGCACCCCTAGGCACCAGCTGCGCCGAGATGGCCAGAATGCCTTGTGACTAAGCGGGATGAGGTAAGCTGGTCGACACTTGGGTAAGTGGTCTGAGCGTCTGGGCTTCGGATTGCCATACAAGAACGCTGTAAACTATGCCCAAGAATTGACGATGGAGAAGTCACTGCTTGTCTGAATCTTGTAGGTATTAGGACCTAGGAAGAGGCCAGGCAAAGTTTGAAAGGCAATCGATTTCCATAGCCACATCTCCACTTCCGGGTCAAGCGACAGCAGTCCCACTCAACTCTACCAGAGCGGCTTACGACTTACACGACAACCCACCAATGCCGTCAACGAAAGTCGCATACGATGCTCGCGCAGCCAACAGAAAGCGCCAAACGCACACAGCCGAGCGTCGACGACAACCCAAAAGACCAACACAGATCCTCGACATCAATGTCTGGGGAAGCGGTGAAAACTGCGAGCTGGGCCTCGGCACCCGCATCACCGGGGCCCCGAGACCTCGTGCGCAAACGTCTCTTCGGCCCTTCGATATTGTCCAGATATCTGCCGGCGGCATGCATTGCGCTGCCTTGACCAACAACGGCGAGGTCCTGACGTGGGGTGTCAACGACGACGGGGCACTGGGTCGAGTGAAGCCTCCAGATGCACCGGAGGAAGGTCCCCAAGACATGCTGGATCCATTTGAGAGCACACCTGGGTTAGTGCTATTCAAATACGACGTCGATATAGTCCAAGTCGCGACAACCAACAGTGCGTGCTTCACTCTCACAGCTCAGGGAAATGTATACGGCTGGGGTAGTTTTGCTGTAAGTCCGTCATTTTCTCCCTTTCTTTACCCTCTTACGATTCCCGGCTAACACCTCCCAGGCAGGAGACGGCAACTTTGGCTTTCTTTACGATAAGCCGCCTCAGACCATCGAGCCTGAGCCCGTGCTCATTCCCGGCCTTGAGAACATCGTGGAACTAGCCGGCGGTGCGAACCACGTCCTGGCTCTCACCAAAGACGGCGATGTCTTTGCCTGGGGCTCTGGCGAGCAAAACGAATTGGGCAGACGCCTCCTGGCCCGTCGTCGCTTCGAAAGTCTCGTCCCCCAGCGCGTCGGCTTGCCCAGACACCGGACGGTCAAGGTGTTTGCGGGATCGCACCACAGCTTCGCCATTGACGTCCACGGCAAAGTTTGGGCCTTTGGACTGAACAACTTTGGCCAGTGCGGGATCCCAACGCGCGAGGACACTGGCTTCACGACAATCATAACGCCAACAATTGTCAAAAGCCTCGAGAAGCACTCTATTCACCACATGGCATGTGGTCTTCACCATTCCATTGCTTGCACCGACAAAGGGGAAGTTTTGGTCTGGGGTCGGTGCGATGATGGACAAATGGGCATCGATCTGAACATCGTACCCCACGATGACATCATCTTGGACTCGAGAGGTAGACCTCGGGTATCGAACATACCAATGACTGTCCCCAGTAGTGTTATCCGGGCTTTGAATCACTGCTCCAAAACTGACCAACCCCTTTCAGTGCAGAGCGCCGTGTTTGTGGCGGCAGGGATCGACAATTGCTTCGCAGTTTCTCGACATGGCGAAGTGCTTGCTTGGGGATTCTCGGCCAGTTATAATACCGGACTCGGGACCACTGATACTGTAGGGGAACCGACCGAAATACGTCGCAGCGGTGCCCTCACGTTCGTCGATGCGGGCGGCCAATTCGGGGTCTCAGCAGGGCCGCGGTTGCGTTGAGCTTCAGTCTTCTTTGTGCGTCTTCTCACACAATGAGGAAATTGAGGTTCGAAGCCCTGAGCTTTTGGACCCAGGTGCGCTCGGTCTGCGTGTCTGGATCCACAGACTCCTCGAGGTTCCAAATAGTCTGCAAAGTGTCCATGGCAGTCATGATGAAGCCCCAGGGGGTCGCAATCATAAGTCTTTTCAGCCGGTCGAGAATCCATTTTCGTCTTTCTGGATCGGAGGTCCCAGCACCAGCAATGAAGGTTGGCAAACACGTCGCCTTGAAATTGGGGTCTTCGTCGTGGATACAGGAGAGGTGGTAGAACATCTGGCTGTCCAACTCTTCACGGTCAACGGGCACCAGGATCGAAGCCGACGGCAGAGCGTGGAGAATGTACAAGCATGCAGCAAGCCGGTGGGCGGAGCCGGCATGAATTCGGCTTTCTACCGGGATGTGCTTGAAGTAGGAAATGGTCCGCGGCTCATAGGCCCAGTCGTGAGTATCGAAGGACAAGGCCTGCTCTAGCAGTTGCACCGCGGCCTGGGCTACGGATGCCGCAGACTCGAGGTCGTCTGTAGGTTGGTTCGACAGCTGCGATGCTGCCAAGAAGATTTGCAAAACATCAGGCGGGCAGCAAAGATAGCTGTTTGCGGCAGCTCTGCCAAGAACGGCAGAGGCCTGGGAGGCTTGGTAGTACGACTTGGCCGTTGGCGTCTCACGGTTGAAGGCGGAGGCCAAGATATAGTAGCTGTGGTGGACAGATTAACATATATAATTCATTACCCAACACCAGACGCACCAACTCACATGAAGCAATCCGACATAACATAATCCCGTAGGGCAACGTCTGCGGTGGAAGCGGGGTTCAATAAAGTCATAATTCGGCCCGCGCCTTCGAGATGGGGCTTCCAACCGCCGTGTCCGCTCTCGATCAACTCTACGTTGACGAAGAAGAGCACCGAAGCTAGTACCACGTCCCCGCCGACGCCGCCAATGTCCTGTAACGCGGAGGAGAGCAGGCGCAGGGCCTTGTGCTTGGCAACCAGGGCATCGGTTAAGGCTTGCCGGGCGTTTAGATCGGACTCGGGATCTGACGATAGCGCCCGGGACAAATTAGACATGTGGGCCGCGGAGGCGGCGACGATGATGTGCTGCAGCAAGGGGTGCGCTTTCGTCAACGGGATCAAGGACCGGAAGGGGTTCCTGTCTGGGAGGTCCCAGGAGACGAGATCCCTACAGACGCGCGTGGTGACTGCGGAAGCGACCGAGTTAGCCGTTCTAGCGTCTTCCCGAGAGATTGGATCAGGAGGTGTGAATTACAGTAGGAGAGGTAGTGGCGGTAGTGATGCTCCACGCCCTGGAAGAGAGGGTCGACGAGGGTCCAGGGTGCCGACTGGGTCTCGGTGCCGGCGGGCCGGACGGCAGAGACGATGAGCGCGGTGGAGTCGCTGTCGGTAGGTACCGGCGGGCCCTGGGGGCCCGAGGCGGGAGAGGGGGAAGAGAGCCTGAGCTCGAGGGTGGAAGTCCGCGACGTCGGTGCCATGATCGTGGTGTCGGCCGAGAAGGTAATGGACGTCTTGCCAGCGAGCTTGCCGCGGCTGGCGACACCCTCTGTCCAGCGGAAGAGCTTCCCGTAGCCAAGACATTCCTGTCCGCCGACTGTGCACTTGTGGCAGTGGGGATAGGAGCGGTCACAGCGCAGGCGGCGGCGGCGGCAGTTGTGACATGGCTTCGTCGGGGCGCTGAGCATCTCGAATTGGGACATTGCAGCTGCTTGCAGGCAGCCGCAGGTGCAGCTATCAAGGTGCGCGCGAGTGGGCGGCCGGCGTTGCGGGCGTGTGCGCGGTATCCAGAGTGAGGTATCCGCGCAGGAAGGCTGATACCTAGCCAAAATCCTGAGTCTCGGCGGTGGGTAAGGCTCCCGTCGTCTCCAAAAGGCGCACGCTGAAGTCCAGAAACGGAAGTAAGCTGTCTTTGTGGTAACGATAACGTAAAACGGACGGGGTCAGACAAGGCTTGACTGGTTCAAAGGCGTTGGAGAGGCGGCTGGTGAGAGGATCGCGATGGTGGTTCTATGGGAAGTGGTGGTTGTGACCGGGTAGTGATACGGTTGACGCAGATACTGCCTCAATTGAGAAAAGAACCATCAAGAGATGCATGACAAGTAGATGCAAGATTGGTAATCGGAGGGGTCCTGTGTGCTGTGTGCTGTGTGCTGTGTGCGGGTATAGTAGACGGGGGGAATAGCAGAATAGCAGATGAAGATCAGAGGGCTGGCTCGTTGGAGAGGAACAAGATCAGATTGGGTGAAGATTAGGACCGTTGGCAGATAAGATAACAATTCAGTAACAGATCCAGGCGGACGATGGAGAGTCCGAGACTCCAGAGCTCCAGAGAGTCCGGATAGACTACGATTGGAATGTGGAATGCGGTGCCGTGTGTCTGGTGTTTTGCTGGATGTCGGATTGATTCGAGTTGTGAAGCTTGGATTCGGTGGCCGCAGTCCCCGGCACCGAGATGCCGCCCGATAAGAACCGATAACATGGCACGCTAGTCACGCTAGTTCGTTTCCGGAAGCCAAGGCTCAGGTCGTGCATTTGGCGATCCACTATTTCTGTTCGAAGACGAGGGGAAAGGTGGCGCTTGGTTCGTCAAAAGTCTGCTGTGGTTGTGCATTGTGCAAGCCTGCTGAGTCACCAACTCTTGACAGTCACCGCTAGACCACATTAGGCATGACGAGTCTGAAGAACCCCACAAGTCTCGTTCCATGTCGCAACAAAGAGGTTCGCAACTTCGGTGTTGCCCAAAGTCCAGCACCACTTTCAATAAACTTGTGTCATCATGATCAAGGTCGTCATTTCGGTCATCACCACGCAGCGAACTCGCAAGTCGCTACCAATTAGAGGCAAACTAAGCGGTCGGGATGGAGACCGGGGAGAGCTGGCCCAGCCGGCAGGCAATTTCTCGATTCATTTTCCGCATCAACTGCGCATAATTATTCGTCTTCAGCTGACTGAATATGTACGGATAGTGTGTTAGTCTTGCTATGGTATTAGCACCTAGCTTAGCGATTCTGGCACTCTTCACCTGAACCAATGCGCACAAAGAACAAACCCCGTACAACTTTTCGTTCCGAAACCCGAAACGGTGACAGTTCTTTGCCGAGAAGGGCAGCCAAGGCGCACGCCATGCTCCAACGACCGACCGCCTCGTGAGCCATATGCCAACGTAAGCTTCTCCTCGGGCTGGAACTTTGGGGGGGGGCGATGGGCTGTGACGACGGTGCCCTGTCTAGGCCCGTGTGTTTGTTTGTCGTCCCGGCGGCGGTGGTTTCTTGGTACGTTGGTCCTAGGCCAGATGCAAAATCCTGACGCTCCATTCTCGAATCTCCACACCAGAATCCACCCCCGATCAGAAATTCTCTGCGCCAAAGGAAACCCTTTGATGGATTCGATGGACCGTCCCTGGCCGGTATTTAGGTGTTGAAGGGACCCAGTACGAGGCATCCCAGTGACAATGCATGTCCGGTTTTTCCCTTTCTACTGTCAAGCGTTGTATTTGTATGACTTGAAAACCTCTTCACAATAAAGAATAGACTGAACACTGCGCTTCCGTACCGTAAAACACTCTACCTTGAACCCCGGCGAATAAAACCAATGACCCAGCGCGACACCGAGCGGGAAGCCGGCTCCGGCTCCGGCGGCCAAGCCACCGAGTTCGACGTCGAGTTTCTCGGCCGACAGCGGCCGGCCGTCTTCAATTCCCAATGGGCCGAACTGGGCTTCTGCTTCTCCCTCTTGGGATCCATGCTGATGGCTGTAAGTCTTCCCACGCGGATCAACAACGGTAGTTTCACTCTCGGGAACCGCCCCGCGGGAACCGGAGGAGGCCTAATTCGTTTTTGCAATAAACCAGGAATACTTTGTCAGTGGCTTTCACATCATCCTTCCGCCTCTCGCCGGGGAACTCGACATCCCCGCGGCCTCCCAGACATGGCCCTCGAGCGTCTTCTCCCTCGTCACCGGCGCGTTTCTTCTCCCGCTCGGCAGACTAGGCGACATGTACGGCGGCTACCTGACCTTCAACGCCGGCCTCGCCTGGTTCTTCATCTGGTGCCTCGTCGCCGGCTTCAGCAACAACTACATGATGCTCATCGTCTGCCGAGCCCTCCAGGGTCTCGGCTCCGCGGCCTACCTCCCCGCAGGCATCATGCTGCTGGGCAAGATCTACCGCCCGGGTCCCCGCAAAAACCTCGTCTTTGCACTGTACGGCGCCTTCGCGCCCATCGGCTTCTTCTTTGGTATCCTCATCGGAGGCGTCTCTGGCCAGTTCCTCAGCTGGCGCTGGTACTTTTGGCTCGGCAGCATCGTCCTGGGCATCATCGCGGCGGTGTCCTTTGTCACGATCCCGCGCGACTACCATGACAAGCGCCAGGAGATCCGCATGGACTGGTGGGGCGCCGCGACCATTGTCCCCGGCTTGTTGCTGGTGGTGTACGCCATCACGGACAGCTCGCACGCGCCCCAAGGATGGGCGAGCCCCCAGATCCTCGTGACCCTGATCCTCGGCGTCGCACTCCTCGTGGCGGCGTGGTACGTCGAGAGCCGCGTGTCCGCCAACCCGCTGCTGCCCGGCGACCTCTTCGCGCCCAAGTCCATGAAGACGCTCGTGGCCGCCCTGTTCTTCGCCTACGGCACCTTTGGCCTCTTCCTCTTCTACTCGAGCTTCTACATCGAGACGGTGCTGCACATGTCGCCGCTGTTGACGGCGGTGTGGTACGTCCCCCTCATCGTCGGAGGCATCATGATCGGCACCGTGGGCGGCTTCACGCTGCACCTGCTACCGGGCCGAGTCCTCCTGGCCATCTCGGGCACAGGCAACCTCCTGAGCGTGCTGCTCTTCGCCATCATGCCGGACAACCCCAACTACTGGGCCTACGTCTTTCCGGCCATGATCTGCGGCACCATCGGCATCGACATCACCTACACGGTCAGCAACGTCTTCATCACGACGAACCTGCCCAGCCACCGCCAGGGTCTCGCGGGCGCGCTCATCAACAGCCTCCTGTTCCTGGGCATCAGCTTCTTCCTCGGCATCGGCGACGTCGTGGTCGGCGAGACGACGGACCTCGGGCTGAAGAAGAGCTACCAGGCGGCCTTTTGGCTGGCCACCGGCGTCGCTGCCGTCGCGCTGGTGCTCTACGCCCTCGTCCGCATCGGTTCCGCCAAGAGCGACCTCACAATGGAAGAGCGTGAGCAGCTCGCGGCGGCGGAAGAAGCTCGACTTCGGTCGCTGGAGACCACGACGCACGACGATGCAAACGACCAGGACACGTCGGTGACGGCGACCGACACCGATGCGGAAAGATGTAAGTCGCCTGCGCCGGAGGAACAGGTCGTCCCGGGGAGGTGAAGACCGAGCCCGACCTATGTGACGACTTTGGTTGACCGCCTGGGGGAACGGCACGCATAACGTCGTATGGGCTAGACAAATTAATTGATTCCAAGATGTGGAGAGCGCAAAACCAATATGTCTGCCAAGCAGCAACAAGATTGGGTAATACGCCGCGCCAGGTCCCCTCTCGACTCCTTGAAGGGTCGAAGGATTGGCCATCAGGGGGGACAATCCGTGCAGTCGGGCGCAAGAAAAATTCCACCATCGACTTTTGAGCGATCTGAGGGTATCGGCGGGCGAAAAAGAGCGACTCCACACAAATAATCCTGGACTCGGCGGACCTCTTCATGGACGGAGGTTGCATTGAATTGCGCCCAGCGATTTACCCGAAGCAAATTCATCCCAGGCTCGTACCGCCGCCCAAGGTTTTGTGTGCCCATCCTGCCCGCGCGGCGCTGCGAGCGGGAGCAGGTCAGGTTGCTTGGCTTGGCTTGGTTCCTGAACCCCGAGATTGGAAGAAAGACCCAGGGAACATCAACAGGCTACAGCCAGCAAGATGAACGCTCTGCCAACGAAAAATGTCTTGGGAGCCAAGAGTTGGAACACTGCCAACTCTCCGAGATAACCGTCTTGGCGACGCCTCTTGGCATTGCCGATTTGCAGTGGGAAGGCTGAGTGATGGAGCACGAGGTTAATTGGGCACGTTTTGGGTTTCCCGTCAATGGTAGCACACAGCAATTTTGAGTGTCTACTGACAGAGGATGGGACACGCATACTGTATAAGGTAGATTGTGCAGGGCCCAGGGGATGGATCAGGGCGGCCGCATGGAAACAGAAATGATTGTCGGGGATGTCAATAAGGAGCAGAGAGGGGCGGGCTCCGTGAATATAGTAGTCACCAATTAGCACAACCTGCACAGTTCCACCAACGAGCCTACGGATAGGTATGCTTACAATGTTCTGATAGTGTTTTTGCTGACCTTACTCCCCACTCGTGTACTCTAATTCTGGTCACCAAAGATGCAGCATCGGAAAGAACCTCCCACGGGCTTGAAGCATTGAACAAATTCAGGTCGCCTGTCAGGCTGTCAGTATCACCAAAAGCCACCCCGATTCCCCGAAAAGTCGGCCTGGCCATCGTCCGAAGTACGCCGTGTCCAGCATCAGGATCGGCGGGTGGGGTTCGATTGACTTGGGGTCGTCCTTGGGGTCCGTGAGCGTGCCCATCCGAGGGGGAGGGACTGATATGAAGACCCTCCCGACGTAAGAGTTGCGATGGGCCCGTCCAGGGGACCAAACCGGATACGCGCCGACGACTTCGACTTCCAATTCCGTCTCCAAAGCAGGCAGCTCGAGCGCCAAAGACGACATCAAGGTTCGGGCGCTAGAAAATTAAGGTAGGCGCCGGGAAGACGACATGACAGAATAAGCATCGGACAACGGAACGGACGGCATCAAAGAGACAAGACAGAGACAAACAACATGTGGCGCGAGAGACATGAGATTTTAAGTGCACCCACACCCCCGGAAAGAAGACGTCCCCAAACATCGCCAAAGCCAAGAAGACGAGGTGACATTTTCGCTGTCGCTCTCCCTTCCCTTGGAGGCAGCAGCGAGGCTTCGTTCTTTCTCTGTAAAGTATTGTGCAATATGCGACTGGCCTACCCAATCTCCGGCTGCCCTTGTCGTTGACTCGAGGTTGAAATGGCGCGACACGACGGTTGGCCATTTTTCTTGGCAAAGAAAAAGGGGGTGTGACGTTCCCGTCCAATGGTGCGGAAACACGCCAAGCAATTCGAGACCCAGCTGTAGCCTGCGCGTCCGACAGGGCCATTCAGCGCCCAGAGCCGGGCCAAAGAAGAAAAGACAAAAAACGTGGTGCAGGTGTTTCTGCTTGCTGAACTCAATTGCTATTGATTCATAGCTGTGAGCTATTGAGCAGCTCGCGGCACGTACCGAGAGTGATATGACCAACCAGATAATGGTATTGAATGCCGGCTCCGGCTCCGACAACATTCAGACGGCAAGCTTTAAGAATAGGCTGTCCGAACGTCAAAAGTGCTCTCCGAACCCGCCGTCCCTGTTGGCGTTAGGCCCGGCGCTACGTGCTCGCCCACCGGCCGAACCAGGAAGAAGGGGGGGGGAGGGAAACAACAAAAAAATCTCCCGTAATCCCGTAACGAGCTCCACCAGATTCTCCACGATCTGGTATGCAGGGAGAAAGGTCAAGGACCTCTTGCCTGCAGGCTCGTACACTAGACAGCTGTGACGACAAAGACTGCTGCTGGGCAGGCGTGGCAGGTAGAAAAAGGAAGCGGGGGACTGTATCTGAACAGGATACGGACCTAGAGCTGCGGACAATAAGCGCCACGCTCCGGCGGCAGGGTTGGGCTGATAATCTGACAGTTGAATGACGGGAGTGACAGCCTGCATAACCCACGCCCATCCACTCCGCAGAGAGGCGTCCTGACTGGTGCGACAACCTGAACCTGCAGCTCTGAGACAAGATGACCCGGGCATGAACGCAAGTGACAAGCTCGCAGGGACGAACTCCATCTGCCATCTGTAGTGCCGGCGTAAAGCCTTTCGAAGCTATCAGGGAGAAAGGTCGTTACCATGGGCTACGCATGACTCTCCGTGGGGTACTCTGTAGTTACTCTGTAGTTACTCTGTATCCGTACTGCAAATTGAGAGCTTCCGCGTAGCAACACTCAAGAGTCAAGACTCAATACAAGTAACCCAAGAGTCAAGGCTCGCCACGAGCGAAGTGAGGCTTCTTAACGCTAGGTGACGGAGAAATACCTTATCTGAGACAGATCCTTGCCCCCACAACTCTACCTGATTTTAAATTTAATATACGCCGGGACTATCGACCCCACCCGAGCCATGCCCGTTCAGGTACCCCTGACACTCCCGTCACCAGACCGACCCCCCCGACCCTTGAGCCGCCGACCCAACGACAACGACAACGACGGCCTCACTCCCAGATGATCCGTACGGACACGCTTCGTAGTGTATCCGTACCTGTCTCCATCTTCCGATGTGGGAACGACGGGACGAAAAAGGGAACCCAGTCAACCAACGTATTCGTAACCACCACCCGCCACCCCCTTGCACCCTCTCACGCCAGCGACACGACTTCCTCATTCCTGCTAGCGCATTTGTCTGCTTTTGTCCATTCCCGAAACCAGTGACCAACTCGATTAAACAACTGTGCCCTGCAACTAGTGGGAGTTGGGAAAACCTGGGAGGGGAAAACCTGGAAGGGGAAAAAAAGGCACTTCCGTAAGTCTGCAAAATATAGAGGTATTCTGACAATTGATTATTATGTAAGCGGTTCAGCGTGGTCAGTACGGATACCCCAATACAATCACAACTTACATGGATGGGGCTTTGTTCTGCTCCATCTGCTCACGCTTTTTATGGACTTTTTTTTTTCTGCCTGCCTGCCTCCCCCTTTCGGACCCAAACTTGCTCAACCCGCACTATTGAACGACTGCCGTAATTGAGGACCCCGTTCTGGAGGCCTCAGGTCCTTTTTGCCTTTCTTCTTTTGTCCGAAAAAACGAGCCCTGAACCCGGGCGAACTGACGTCGTTCCGGGAACTAGTTAGTGTTGAGGCTCTTTCGATGCTTTGCTAACTCGACCCACGGTACTGGGCCTTGATTCGAGCCCACCTCTCTTTCTCCCTCTCTCCTCTTTTTGCTGTAATCTGATCCGTGAGCAGGAATTGGTCGTGGGAAAAAAAAAAAAAGAATATCATCATCGATCTCCTTCTAGTGTATTCTCCTCGCAATGATACCCAAGTACACCCATCTTGGCATGTTCTCAGACCTTCTCCCCCTTCCTCTCCACACACACCCCCTGTTGCCATGTTGTCTGTGGTCTGCACCTCTTCTTTTTTGTCCTTTCTCATCCCGTCAACCATCCCCTAGCTTCATTTCGAAGCCCACATCTCTCTATATACCCTGGCCTGTTTCCAAACGTCAACTCGCTCTTACTGGCTTAGCCGTGTCTTGGCGGAATATCGACCAAACACCTCCTGGCCTGCGTTTCCCCCCTTGAACAAAACGAACCACCATCTCTCAGCTCGTACCACACCACACGCATGGTCGACCTTCTTCGTCCCATCTCCGCGTCTTTATTCGTGCGATTTTCGTTCAGATCGCGGACCCGGGTACCGCTTCACTTCCACCCACCGTGACATTCGCCCGTGCTCGTGCTCGAACCGGCATGTACCCTTTTTTGGGGTGGTTTTGCTTCCCAATGCTTCCTTTTCAACCTTCAACGAGGGGGTTTGGCGTATACGTAGTTGCATTTTACTATAAGCTCAGTCATGTTTTGCCTTCCTGCGCCCTATGTAGGCAATGTCATCGTACCGCCAACCTTCTCCATAATCTATATGCGTGACGCGATGAGCAGCGTGATCAATGAATGTGTACACCCCCCCCTTCCTTCTCTTGTCTGTTTTCCCCACCCGCAAAGCACCCATCATGACCTCTCCGCCAAGGCCCTCCCGACAGTGGCCCCAGCCTGTTCAGACCCAGCAGCAAGATGCAAGTACCAAGCCCCAAAGCGTCGAGAGCCTCCTCTTCGGCCTGGTCCCGCTACGCAGCCTCCAATACTACCATGAATCCATGATTCTCGCCAAGACCAGGGGTGCCAAGATGGTCCAGCACGCACGCGTACGCAAGCAAGCAAGCAACCTCCCCATCCGGGCCCCTCCGAGGACTCTCCCAAGAGAAGGAGAGAAGAGAAGAACAGACGCAGGAAGAGGAGAGAGTACCGAGTAGAAACCCGCAATCCTGCAAGGGCGCTCAAGCTTCTCCAGAAGGGAAAAAGGGTCTTGGCCCTTGGCACCAGAAGCTTAGCCAAGAGATGTCTTGGCCTGAATACTTAAAGAACCGCCTCCTCCGACCTCATCTTCTCTTCCTTCTACCCTTTTGATCTTCATCCCGCTTCACTTCCAACTTCTTCAGTCCTTCAGCTTTCGCGCTCTTTGCATTCATTCTTTCAGTAAACTCACTGTCAATACATTCGTTCGACGTAGATCGTCAACACATTCTCTTTTACAACACCACCCAACCACCCACTACACAACTAGCTCCTCAGATATCTGCAAGCTTTCCAGAAAAGTTAGTCAAGATGAAGTTCTCCCTCGCCTCCTCCATCGCCATCCTGGCCGCTCTGACCAGCGCCACACCGACCCCCACCGTCGTTGATGGCTCCGCCGTCGACCCTCGCACCGTCGAGAAGCGCGCCAGCATCACTGACGCCTGCGACGTCGGCTACGGTGCCGGCACCACCGGTGGCTCCGGTGGTACCACCACCACCGTCTCCACCCTGGCCCAGTTCACTGCCGCCGCCGCCTCCCCCGACAAGGCCGTCATCGTCGTCAGCGGTGCCATCACCGGCGCCGCCAAGGTCAGAGTCGGCTCCAACAAGTCCATCATCGGCGCCAAGGGCTCCTCCCTCACCGGCGTCGGCTTGTTCATCAACAAGCAGGAGAACGTCATCATCCGCAACATGAAGATCAGCAAGGTCCTCGCCACCAACGGTGATGCCATCGGCATCCAGGCCTCCTCCAAGGTCTGGGTCGACCACTGCGAGCTCTCCTCTGACCGTGACAACGGCAAGGACTACTACGACGGCCTCCTCGACATCACCCACGCCTCCATGGCCGTCACCGTCTCCAACACCTTCCTCCACGACCACTACAAGGCCTCCCTCGTCGGCCACTCCGACTCCAACGCGGCCCAGGACACCGGCAAGCTCTACGTCACCTACGCCAACAACTACTGGAAGAACGTCGGCTCCCGTGTCCCCTCCGTCCGCTTCGGTAACGTCCACGTCTTCAACAACTACGAGGAGAACGTCGAGACCTCCGGTGTCAACACCCGCATGGGCGCCCAGGTCCTCGTCGAGTCCTCCGTCTTCTCCTCCGTCAAGAGGGCCATCACCTACCTTGACTCCAAGACTACCGGTTACGCCACCGTCAACGACGTCGACCTCGGTGGCTCCACCAACGACGCCCCCGCCGGTAAATTCGCCAAGGCCACCTACTCCTACACCAAGCTCGGCTCTGCCAAGGTCAAGGCCTCCGTCACCGCCTCCGCTGGCCAGACCCTTTCCTTTTAAGCTCGTTGTCGATAATGGTGGTGTGAGAATTGGTGCAACCAGCGCTGCCAGCCGTGGGATATTTGGTCCCCGGTTGGAAAGTACTAGAAAGAAGTACGGAATTCATGTAAATACTTTCTCTCTCAAGGCACCAGGCAAGGCTTTTGGCCACCTGGTTCTGTAGATATAAGTTGCCGGTTTCAACGCACGAGCTCTGGGATATGTGTTCCATCCAAAGTGAATGTGACCCGTATAAGATGTATCTTGTCAACGTGTGCTGACCTTGATGTGATCAATGCCCATCTAACGAGGTCAACAAGTTGTCGCTACGAAGATGAACATGCAAGAAAAGGGCAGTACTTTCAATGAGCATGCGGTCAGATCATTCGAGAAAACTCCCAGAATTCAGGTGCAGCGGAGCGGGAGCATGATTCTGATAGGCTCTAGGTAACTCGGTTTGCATGTAGACATACTCGTGGGTTACTCAGTGGAAAGACAAGTAGGGTGGTCCCAGACACCCCATCACATGGGCTTGCAGCCCGGCGGCAGCTTCGGTTCCTAATTGCCCTTTCTCGTCACACCCACCTCGTTCCAGGCGTCCCTCACAATTTTGCCCGCCTCATCTCCGAACAATTCCTCCGCGACCTCCGTCGTCACGTCGGCAAACTGGATAAACGTACATTTGGTAGGAACACGACCCGAGTTCATGGTCTTCCACCAGATGGGACCAGCCTTCTCATACGAGAAGCCGCCAAAGGCCTTGGCCACAAGATAGAAAGCCCTGTTCGGAATGCCCGAATAGATGTGGACGCCACCGTTGTCCTCAAAGGTCGGGACGTAGTCCTTGAAATTGGCCGGTTGAGGATCCTTTCCGAATCGCGGGTCGTCGTACGCAGTACCAGGCTCCTTCATGCTTCGAAGAGCAACGCCCTTGACACCGGGCATGATGCAGCCTTCACCAATGAGCCAGTCGGCATCCTCTGCAGTGTTTTGTTAGTAATGACAATGCCATGATGGGCGTCTTGGACTAACCAGCAGTCTCCTTTTCGACAATCTGCTTGACGATGATGCCGAATACGTCGGAAACGTGCTCGTTGAGAGCTCCGCTCATTCCTTGGTAGTCGAGAGGGCTGGTGTGCTCCGTCACAGCATGGGTGAGTTCGTGGCCGATGACGTCGATGGTTCCGGTAAAGTTGTTCAGGAACTCCCCGCCATCTCCGAACACCATCTGCATCCGCTCTGGGTCCCAGACTATAGTTCTTTGTCAGTGCAGTCATTGGATAGCGGGTGGAGCTATCATCAGCGCTGGTGACCGAGGCGACACCGTTGAAAGGGGTAACGAGATGTGGGTAAGACAGGGAAAAGAAGGGGGAAAGAATACAGGAAGCTTAAAGGTACAGAGACAGAGAGAGAAAGTGTTTGTGTGTACTTACATGCGTTCTCATACTTTTGGCCGAAATGGACGGAACTGATGACATGCATATTCTTGTTGTCGATGGAGGTCCAGCTGAACTTCTCCTTATACATCTTCAGTACCTCACCGATATTGTCAAACGCATCGTTGACTGCTTTGTCATCCACGGCTTTCTGGCCCTCTACACGAACCACGTCACCAGGTAATTTGCTTTCGTTCTCGGTGTTTTTGGCGTCATAAACAGCCCGGTAGAACTTGTCGGCCTTTGGGTCTTTTTTGCCGGTGGTGGCAGCGAGGGTGACTTGGTCCTGGAAACCCTCGGCTTGACCCTGCTGGACCTGCTGGACCTTTTGCTGAACGCCTCGGATGTGGTCGAGATCCCTCTTGGCGCAGGCTCTGGTGTCGTCGTCAACATCCGTTGAATCGGCGATATGCTGGAGCAAGATATCGGGAACAATGGAGGGGCGGGAGCGGGAGGAAAGTTGGTGACGCTGGGCACGGGGGCCACCGAGGATGGCAAGACGTTCTGCGCGGCGGGTGGTGAACAGCTCACGGAGGTCCAGAGCCTGTCTCGCGGCATGACGCTCATGCTCGCTGTTGCACTCGGCGTCGGCGATGGCCTTGAGCAGGTGGGGAGGCACAACATAACACACGTGACCGGCCATGGTGACTAGGTACTATCAAAGTTTGTCTGGAAAGACAGAATAGGCGGTGAATATTCTGGTAGGAAGACTCTAGTAGAGGATGTGGAATTGAAGTTGAGAGGATGTCAAGACAAGTGTGGGATGTTGGAGGTTGCAGAGAGGAGAGGGAGAAGACGCAGATGATGGGGAACGCCGGGTACCTGGTCTTTTTATGGGCAACACCTCGGTGAAGAGGCAAGGCAAGGGCAGGCGAGGCAAGGTGGCCTGGTGTCTGCCTGCCTACTAGGGTAGGTTCATGTTGCCTGCCGTGTGTCACGATTGAGACTTGCTGAAGACGCAGTTGGAAAGCGAGGCAAGTGCAGGTTTCCAAGTTTGGTGTTGGGTCCAGTCGATGGGCGCCAGTTGGTGTTGCTCAGCCTTGGAGAGGCAGCCATGCAATGCAACCTTGCTGGGACCTGCTGTCTTATCGCTGGCTGCCTTTCTTGCCCCTATCAGGACAGAGAAGGCCAAGACATGGCGACGCAGCTGTCGTCCAAACGCCAATGTGATTGCGTGACGGGGCTTCAGAGCTGTCTCCATTGGGCCGTAATTCGTACCCCTCTTCTCATCGGACAACCCACTTTCCCATCACGAATCCATCACGGGCTTTCCTGCTCAAGCCACAAGGCAAAGAAGGTGTCTTCACTTGAAGAAGCCGTTGAATAGGGTAGAGAGGTCGTCCACGGCAGATAAGACGGCCTATTTCCAGGCTCAAGAGGTACGCCAAAGCCCAGCAAATCGAACAAGGGGTAATGATGATGATGCTGATGATGATGATGCGAAAGCGACGAGGTGACCAGCACTGATAAGACACGAGCTCCGGATACCTAGGCGCGGGGCTAGGGGGCGCAGCGGGTGCCACCCACATGCCGTGACCAGGTGTTCTTGTCCAGGGGACGTGTAACTTGATGAACGAGGCAGCTATGTGGCACGAGAGTCGACGAGAGGCGAGACGACAGATTAAGAAATGCTTCTGAGGGGCTCTCGGGGGGCGTTTACTGTGGCGTTTATCGACACCGGTTTGTTGACTTACATGCCGTTGCACGAATGCACCCTGTCTTACTTGGGTTCATTACCTTGGTCAATGTGTCACCCGACGTCATTCCGCCGTCGCACAAAACCTTGAAAAAGGAAGGGAAAGTTTCGTCACCGGACGTTGGGTGCGAGACTTGGAGCCAGACGAAATTGCTTCAACGACGATTTTTTCCAGTAAAGAAACAAGCAGCCGAGCCAGTCATGTCACGCCTGTCAGAGCGCAGTTCAGCTGTGCAAGGGAGAGCTGAAATGGTGCAGAATTCCATTCGGTCAACCTGGAAGTGTTAGTGCAGATAAGGTAGGTACCTTACCAAAGGACCCACTCCTTCTGCGGGGATTGCCGGCGTCAGCCCGGGCCGCAGATCGCAAGTGCCGGCAGAGCCCCGGCCAGTCCCGCTTCCCCACTACAGCCTTGGGCGCAGAGGTAGTTTGCACTTGAGCATTGCGTGCATGAAGGAAATGCTGTGCTACCTTGCTTACTTGCGTTGTAATATGCATTTGATGTAAGAGTCAGGTTGTGGAGGGTAGGTAAGCAAGGCTCTCTCTTCAGGCGGACGAGTGTTACCACTATGCTGTACTAAAGTGTGCACAGGCATCGTGTTACCCCGTGGAAGGCGGACATGCTCCTCCTTCGATCTCGTAAGGCAAGGTCAGGTAATACGTAAGGAACCCAGTAGAAGAAGGCACCAAGTCAGACTCATGCTCTGCATGGAAAGGAGGAGCACTCCGGATATCTCGGCACCTACCTACGCGAGGCAAGTTGGGCGAGGGCAAGAGCAGTCATGAACCGCACTTGCCTCCTCAACATCACTACTGGGATGCGAGACAGCGGCCAAGCCTCAAAGGTAAGGTAGGTATGGGGAAGGAGAGATGGTGCCCCTTCGGCATCGTCTAAAGATCAATCAAATAAACTTCATTTCTTCAACCTTTCGATCGCCTCACATCATTGCAGTCCTTCAGCCTCGGAGTCCAGTTCTGCCCACGCCCCACACTACTCATGCTGTAACGGTCAGCTGGGCAGCACTCACGATGCCTCCTCCTCTCCTTACCCTCAATTCCACACTCTCAAAGGCATCGAGTTCTCAACCTCGATCCTCGGCGTCAAACATCCGAACCTCGCACGGCAGACAGTCCTCCTTGAGGAACCCCAAACCAACCGCAGACCTCTCACCGGAACACCATGCAATCATGCTCCGCCATGCTCTCTCCTCCCCAACTATCCGAGCCCTAACCTCCCTCCCCCGAGGCCCCCCTCCCGAGGAAATCCTCCGCTGTGCCTCCTCCGCAACAGAGTTCCTCTCCTTCACCTTCAACCCCCTCGAAAAGGTCGCCTTCTCCCACATCAATAACGATCCCTCCACCCGCTGGCCCCTCAAAGAAACCCTCACCCAGTCCTGGCACAAGGTCTTCCTCGTCGCCCAATGCGAGGCCTCGGGCGGCGACTACGGCGACCGTCTCTCCCTCCAGGCCCGTCAGAAGCTCTACTCGGAGAAACTCCGCATCGTCAAGATCCTCGGCCAAGTCCTCCGCGCCTGCGCAGACATCATGGGCTGTCGCAAAGACGCCGTTGGCCTGAGACGCTCCCTCGAGACCTGGCGCGCCGTCGTCTCCAAAAGCTAGGAGGGGATGACGACGGAGCTGTTGCAGGTACCCGATATTGGCACCAAAAAGGTGGCTTTGCTCGTCGAGCATGGTGTCAGGAGCGTACGCCGACTCGCTGAGATGGAATTTTTCCACATCGAGAGGGTGCTCTCCCGAAACCCGCCCTTTGGTCAGAAGATTGTGCGCAGCTTGGCGCACTTCCCGCGCCTCGTACTCGCTGTCGATATAGCCAAACGAGACGAGGGTCCGGAACGTAGTATCATCGTCCGCGCCATACTGGGCTGTTCGAATCGCGAGGCCCCCGTTTGGAAAGGGACGGCCCCATGGGTCACTTTGGCTGCCGAGACCTCGGATGGCCGATTGGTCTTTTTCTGGAAGGGAAAAGTCAAAAGCCTGATGCCGAGCAAAGACCTTGTGTTCCCTGTCAAGGCAGCGAAGGGCGAGAAGGTGTTCATCTGGGCGAGTTGCGAAGAGATTGCTGGGACTTATGTGACGGGCGAGGTAACCGTCTAGGACCTGTTCGGTTGGAAGTATTTAATCGTGCGGTAACTTCGAGAGGAGAACCCATCTGGCATGTTAGCATTTGTTGAAGAGCTTCAAGGGCCGCAAAAGGCTAATAATACTCACGGGGGAAACGCTATCGTAGTAATCGCAGAGGCATTATACCCAATTTTCCAGCTTCCCACATTCCGTTGTGGCCTTCAAGACTCTTGATCATCCAAATTGATACCACACCTGGCGCGGCATGGTGCTCACTAATTGGTCCCAAAGCCAAATCCCTCTAATTCACGATTGCCAGTGTCCCAGGCTACAAGGCTGTGAAACGCTGTCATTGCGAATTCGCTACTGAACGATGTATAGATATTTCCGAAAAAGGTTTCTTGCTGGCGCATGCTCCACTGATCTTGTCAATCTCGCTTTCGTCATCTACTACGCAGCTTATTCTGTCAAACACAGCCACAGATAAAGCAGCCTGGCCGTAACAATGTGAAATCTTATTCTCCGAGCAGCTAGCGCTGTACAATATTTCCGCAGCATGCAACTACTAAGGTAGCCTCTGCAGTATGAACACTCGCGCTCTCAGCTCCCTAACAGGGGCTCTCAAATATACAATGCACCGTCGCCTATGCCTCGCGGTATGGCCGGGTATCGCTGTTGATGATACTGTGTGGTGTGGGTGGTTGCGCACATGCAACCCGGACTCTATTCCAGGACTCGATGTCCAAATATTCCGGAGCATGCCACCCAAGAGAAAACACAAAAGAAAAAGGCGAAAGACAGGCCCCCCTCCAATCCTTTTTATTACCCAGCCATTTGTTTCTCGTCATTGTGCTCCATCCATTCCCCCAACTCGACTCCGGTCAGCTCGTATCCGTTAAAAACATTTCGAAATGACGTCATTGAGGCGACGATATCATGCAAATTAGTCGTCGCGGTTCTTGCCCCTAACTGATGGCGCGCGGTGGTGGTGCAGCATGGGTGAGGATGGCCTAGACGTCGAAAGTCCCATGTTGCGGACCGCATCAAGCGGGTCCAGGTTAAGCTTAGTTTCGTCTGTGATGGCTGGCGTGTAGGCCGGGTCAACCATTGCCTTTTCGTAGCTTGCAATCGTAATCGGTGGCGGGCGGCCCTTGCGATCAGGAATGCTGTAGATGTACGTCGCGGCCAGAACCAGAGCAGTGCCGGCGAGGAACTAAAAGTGTCAGAGAACAAGTGGTTCGAGACGAGTGGCAGAGGCGTTGACTTACTGTGAAATTGACTTCAAAGTTGAAGAACCAGACACTAAACAAGAAGCTGATAACGATGCTGATGCTCGCAGCAAAGTTCTTCGCAATGTTGTCGGCATAGTTGATGCAAAGCGACGCAAGCACACCTCCAACAGCCTGGAATACTATCGCGGTCCAGACAACCCAGTTGTATCCATCAAAGAATCCATGCTTGGTAATATCCTCCCCGTCTATGAAGATGACACCTGCCAGAGCGGGAAATAGCGAATAAAATGAAAGCTGGATATTGCGGGTCCAGACAGAGGCATGAGTGCCCGAGTCCTTGAGCATCTTCTCAAAGTATACTCCGGCAAGGCCCGATGCCACGGCGGCAACGAGCACGGCGGACAGTCCAATTGAGTAGTTCATGAGCGGCGACGGGTCTTGGTCCTCCTGGATACCCTGATATGAGGCCGACCGCTTCATGATTTCTCCACCGACGCCCGCGAGACCGTCCGCAGCGCGCTTGGTGAGCTCACGGGCCACATCGACCGCACCCTCGGCAGCTTGACCCAGTTCGTGCACGGAGCGAGGAAAGAAATGGTCCGTGGTATCGTGTAGGAGGATACTGGCCGAAGAGGACTCGGTATGGCCTGCGGGCGAAGGCTGGGGAAGCGAGACGATCGAGACACCCAAGGTCAGGATGAAGAGAGAGATCCAGCGCTTCATGCCGAGAGCGCGGCGAAGCATTGTGACGGAAAAGACGGCTGTCGTGAGAATCTGCGACAGGCATACGATTAGTTTTGGCAGGTCCTCTCCTCTGGGTGGCGGGAATGGGCCCGTGTAGGCGCACCTTGAGCTGATACAGCACTTGAAAGTGGACGGCATCCAGGTTTCCAACAGCGACGTACTGCAGCGTATTTTGCAGCGTGTAAAGTGTTGCTGGGATTGCGAGCTTCCACCCATCGCCCGAGAACACGGAGTTGAAGATCTGCTCAAAGATGACGGTAGCCGGCGTAGAGGGGGCTAACGTGCGCGAGACCTCTGCAATGGAGCAGGTCAAGCAAATTGACAGTTTGATAACCTCATTGAGGAAGACTGCCGTGGATGTAAAGTATCGGTGGTCGCCAATGGGGGGCATGATGCGGGAGTAGTGCATGATCTGCCAAGGTCGAGTCAGCGTTGGTTTCTGGTAATCACGACGACACAAGAAGACTTACCAGAATCAATGCCGAGTTCTGAAAGGTGAGCTGAAAAGCGAGGCCACTGTCAGTAGTCGTCGATACAGAGAAGAGCCTTTGTGCAAGACTTGGCGCGACCGCGAACAGTCATTGTGCGTACCGTGATGAGGGAAAGCTGCTTCATGGACAAGCCGAAAAGTGTCGGCCCCCCCGCCGGCGGCGCGGCAGCGTCGAGGAGAGCCATTGTGGCCGATGCGAAAGGAATTGAGGTCTTTCAAAACGTGAGAAATGGCAGTTGCAAACCGTTCGATCGGTAGCCAGATGTCGAATTCGTGCGATGTGTGCTGTTCTCCCCGGAGTTGGGGTTCTGTTCCGTCGGGTACTTTTGAACCGCCGATAATTCGTCGCGTTAAAAAGGGGAGGGGGGACAAAGTGGGTGGTGTGGGAGCTAAGCTAAAGCTCTCCCTTTTTTTTCGACCCTATTTTTTTTCCCTCTACTTGTCGTAGGATCTTGGGGCAGGACAGCGAATCGGGGTACGGATGGCGATCTAGAGGGGTCTGGAACAATGTCAGAGCGGCGGCCGGCAGGTAACACGGCTGAATTGTATGGATGGCGTGGCAGCGGGCAGTGGTGATTGGCAATAAGAGGCTGCCGGATGGTGGAAGATACAAATGGGATAGCAGGAAGGGAATGAAAAGGAAAGGAAAAGAAGAGAAGAAGGGTTGCGTTGCATTGAAGCCTTCGAAGAGGGTTCGAAAGTGTGTCGCGTTTCTTAATGCCCAAGGATGGGACGTTTCTAGCCCCAGTCCAAGAAAGTGCGACTGTGTTTCCTCTGCTTGGGATGCGCTGGCCGTGACGCAGGTACGCAGGTCCCTTCCTTCCCTGACTGGGCGTGAGGCGGCCCCTGACGTAAGGGAAGAGCCGGGGCAGGCATGAGCAAGGGGGGGTTTCCTCACGGAGCAGACCAAAAAGAGTCCGCGCAGTTGGGGTCCAAGAAATAGGTGTATGATGGGTTGTATTGGGTAAAACTAACTGTCTGTCGTTGCTTGTATTTAACCCATCGGCAGGGGTGCCGCGGAGTTTCCAGATCGGGGAGTGCTCACCCACCCGACCGATCCTTCCACTCACACAGACAGCAAGTGCAGCGCAAAGTCGCCGACAGGCCGCGGTGGAGTGGATAGCGGGCAGGAAGGAGAAGGACGGGAAGGAGAAGGGGAAGAAGGACAGGAAGGGGAAAGGAAAGGACGACAAGGGTACGTACCCCGTGGTCTAGTCTCTCCTGTCGTCTCTGGTCTCTGGTCTTTGGTCTCTCCTGTACCATGCAGCGCAAGTGCATTTGCAAGATGCAGGAAAGAAGAAGAAGAGGGAGAAGGAGAGATGCAGGGGCGCCTGAGATGATGTCTGTTCTCAAATTGCTTGCTAGGTGAGGGCTCTGGGCCTATCACTTGATGATTTGTTTGTGTCCCGTGTCCGATGTCTCCTGCAAACCATGTGCTCTGCTCAGTCAGAGCCTGTCCGTGAATCTGGCAAGCCGCACGCCGCGAGCCGCAAACTTCAGACCACTCACCACACAGCAAGAGCAAAACCGGAACTCGGAAAGGGACGACTACTCGGATCCCCGTACCGCGACAGCACCAAATCCAAGTATTGGTGACTTCAGGTTGTTTTGAAACCACGTCTGGACGTCTGGCCCCTCCCTCCTCGGTTAGCATGAGCAAGACTTGGGTAGAGCTTCAGCTTTCACGGCCCCTCATTCGCCCGCCGTCCCCTGGCCCTCGCCTCACCTTTCACAATTCTCAAACTCTCTCTGATGACAGTTGCGGGATTGCCTGCAAGATAGCGCCCTCCTACCATGCGATACGCCGCGGTACACCTCAGAGACACCTACCTGGGCAATCAGAAACACGTTCCTCACTCTAGCTTGTCACCGTGAAGGCATCCACCTTGTTCTCCTGGGCAAGTCGATGCGAGAGGAAACACTCGAACCACCAGACCCTAAAGCTTCCCACGCCTTTCCGCGCCTGCTATCCCGGGTTGTTTGCCCGGATCCTCGTTTTTGCGATTTCTGAGGCACCTAGAGACGCAGAGCCGCCCAATACACTCCGGGTCGAATCCGCTCATTCGCCCGAGCGTGCCGCCGTGCCGTCCAAGCCCGCCGTCTGTCTCTCGGAGTGACTGCCACGATGCCCTTTCCCGCTGTATACCCGGATGTCCAGATGCCCCGATGCCCAGATGCCTAGACCACGGGATGTACGATTGCTGGAATCTTTGGCCCAGCTTGCAGATCAGCGACGCATCCGCCACGCCCGCAGTGGAGGAACCTGAGCTGGGGCCCAATTCGCATGTAATTCTAGACGGGTCCAGGGCACACAAATCAGCACCACAAGAGGCACCGCAACCCGACGATCAGCGATGCGGTGACGGGGATCACCTCTGCTTTCGGCCCCCTTTTCTCTTGTTCCTGTCTTTGCAACCCGGCTACCGTCAGTGATAATCCGGGGAAGCTGGTGGGAAACCTGTCTCGATTCTTGGCCGGCTTGGCGGGACGAATGAGGCCACACACAGAGAAACAGTTTCTTCCATCTCTCAAAACTCGAGTCCAAATATGTCGACCTCTGTTCATGTCGTCGCCGTCACATCCAATCTCTCACCGTCTTTACTAACCATCTTCTTCTACCTAAGCTAGCGCGTCCTTCACTTCACGAGATCAGAAACTCACCATTAAAGCAACTAGCCCCGGCCCAAGGCGGGGAAGCTCCCCATAGTTTTTGCGCCTCCATGCATAGTGAACTGTCCCGGCTGGATCTGAGTCTAGCATGGCGTCACCTGCCCCTTGGCCGAATCACCACCTCGATCTTTGGGCAGAGGCAACCTCATAACCTCATTAGCTTGGAAGCGCCATCGAGACAGTCTCACCGGAGCGAGACACGCTACTCCAACCGCGTTCACGGCTCCCGCCATCCTGCCCTCAACACTACGCCAATCAGCATTTAGATGACTCCTTGCCCCGTGCGACTCCACCGCCACGTCTGGCAATGCTTGGCCTCATGACCTGCCCAGCGTTGACCACCAACGTCACCTGAAATGAACTTGAAGGTGGTGAAGCGGGTAGAAAGGCTGGACAGGGCGCATCACGCGGGGTACATTCCATAGTTTTCAGACGGTGCATCCTCCGCGTCAAAATGCAACGCGTTTGACAGCTGCCAATGAGTCGGGACGGTCCAACGTTGAGGCTTCCCACGGATGGCCGCCACGAGGGCTGGAATGCTCTAGTGCGATCCCAATTTCAACGCCTCCCCCGGATTCTTGCACCGCCATTGGCTTGTCCAAAACGTCCGTCGTCCCTGTCTCGGGTGAGGTGATGGTTCTGGTTTTGCCTGTTCAAATCCTCTGATGTTCGGTCCGGCAAAGGGATGGCACGCAGCTTCAACCTCGCTAGTGTCAAGGTGCGACGATTGACGACCAACCGCCTTTTGCTTTCCCAATGCCACCATAAGTTAGGTGGTGCAGCTTACAAAGTCAAGATTGAACACCAAATCACCGAGAACGATTTTGGGCATAGAGAAGTCACCTGTTTATCAAATCCCCCACACCTATGGTCGTCAAGCTTAGACGAGCTGCTTATGACACGTGCCCTGACTCTAGTAGTAACTTCACAGTGTGACTTTTGATGTGAATTTCAAAAGAATGATTGATGTTTGTAGATTGCTTCATGTGGCAACGACAATAGCCTCCTGTTGAGCTGCACGTCGCAAGTCTGAACCATGATGCCTCTCAAACCGCCGGTCCCGAAAAATGCCGTCATATTTCACTGGCTACCAAGAAAGAAGAAGCCCCTTCCTAGCTCAACGCCTTGTGTAAAGGTTCGCCAAACGAATTCTGGATGTTGTGCCACCGAAAGCCATTGAAAATTCGTTTATTTCGTTGCGTTCTGGCTCTTCGAACTGTTAACAACGACCGCCTTTGTTACCATGATACCATCGAGCTTGCCCGGGTACATTAGCTCTTCTTGACTACTGCTTGGCTCTGCACGGGATACAGTGGTGCGCGGAAACGGCCGGAGTTGGACATCTTGGTCTTCAGTTGTACGACTGTTACTTCTGGCGTAATTGGCCTTCGAGTTTGACTTGTCAATATAGTACTTCTGGCGCGATGTCGAGTATATTTTGACTGCACGGTACAGTCCAGGTCCGGTGACGATGATGACAGCTGGTCATTGATCAATGGAGGTTCAAAACGGCGATTGCAAAGAGACCTACCTATGGCAGCTTCGATTGTGCCCCAAAGAGCGAGCCAAGGTACCGTAGGCTGGGCCCCGTTATTGCCAATCTGCGTTACGCGGACAGTTGAGGCAGCGATGCAAACCCAGCCCAGACAGAATAGACCTGCGATACTAATCTTGCGCGACAGTGGCATTTGCAACGTTATAATGAGGCGCAGAGGTAGCATCATGACTAGTCATGGTCAGATGAGGATAGGGCCGCTTTTTCAAGCACAAGGAATCTTACTGAGGAGGTCTGTCAGGACGTCTACCGCATAGGCAAACCACATACTGACGGCAGCAGCTTCGACATCTCGTGGCGTTGTGCAGGCACCAACAGAAAACCAAGCATGCATGCTTGAACAAGCCAGGAAGAGTGAAATCACGGTTCCAACCAGCGTCTGGAGCGATCAGTCAGCGGGATGCAACGGAATCAAAACGCTTGTGACTCAGAAACAGCCTACCAAGCCACAGAACACGACCAACGCCCACCATAGTTTGGTGTAATAAGGCAGCTTATCCAACAACTTCTTGTACAAGCACAACAAAGAGAACTTGGCTGACCAGAGGCAGAACCACAAGCAAGCTGAGACCGTGAAAAGACCCTTCTGGATAAAGAGCGCGTCTTCAGTGGCAGTTTCATACGGTTCGATGATACCGGAAGCCATGTCGGTCAGTCTGAAGAAGGCCGGGACGATAAAGAGGTACAAGACGGCGAGCACCATGAAGAAGACGTAGCATGCCACAAGCCAGCCATCTTCGGGGAGGAAACGATTTTGGTGCATGACAGCAAGGACGACTCGCGTGCCAACAACAACAGTAGTGAGAACGATGAGGGCAAGGCCAGCGTTCCGAATCGAGGCCCTCGAGACCGGCGTCGAGACTGGGGCACCTGGCATGGCGGGTGACAGAGATTGAAAGAAATGGCGAGAATGAATGATTGAACCAAGCGATAGACTCTGGGAGGACTTCCCTCATTTACATACCCCACTGTGCAACAGTATTCTTCATGCAGGAAGTCACAGATCTGCGGATTAGAGCACCGAAGGCAAACTGCTCACAACCACGGCTTCTGTCCAGAACGTGGCGATCGGAGCATGCCCAGCGGCACAGTCTCTAGTGAGCCGGCTCAAGCCAATGAAACAGAAGGGGCGTGGGAAACAAACTTCTCACAGAATAGCCAAGGCGCCATACACACCTCGCCAACGGCTGTTGGTCCTTCGACCACTCTGGTTCAATCAGCTTAGAGACATTCAGCGGGTCAGTCACCTAGTTCATAGATGCACAGAGCAGCCTCTCGGGTCGAAGGCTAAGATTCGTCACCTATACAGCTTACGAAGCCTTCAGATCTTTACTATCTCACATGTGAGTACTAATTTCCTGGCATGGCTGAAGATAGAATCTGAGCATCAATACCGACTCTCTAGAGCCCAACGGAATTCCGAGGCCTACATGAACCTAGTGATGATGGCGCTGTCGGCGAGCTCCCGAAGATCTCGCGTTAAAAATATGCTCCTTGGCAATGTCATCGGCTTCTCCTCGCCACTTTCGAAGCAATCATCAGGCCTTTCTCTTGAACCGCTGCAAGGATTTTCGCAATCCAGCCCTGGTGACACCGTCATGCGACAAACAAATTTATTGCGGACTTGCAGTGCGAAATAGGCAAGATACGACGAATATCCTTGAGCAACCAATGTTACGGCCCCATGATATACCCGAAGCGGGTGGTCGTCAACAAAAGTGATTTGCTGAAGCTCTATGTCGTTGGTTCTTCATACAGCGATCCTGCGTGTCTTGGCCCGCAAGTCCGCGTGCCAGCCAAGAGATCGAACGCGGAGCCGTGTCACTGTGGCCAGTTTACAACTCCCTTATACCCACACATGAGATTGACTCCAACGTCACAATGCCCCTATCAACAGCTTTACCAGGGTTCACTCAATTTGAAGACGGGAATCTTTCCTGTTTAGTAGAACTCAGTCCGTCCGACAGTCGCCGGAGGTCTCCTCCGTAAGCTGGTAGGGTGTGGCACTTGGCGCATAACATTGGCGGAAGCATCTTGCCAGGACTCCGGGGACTCGGAGCGACTCACGCGAATAGCCTTGCAATGGACCGCGGTCTATCTCAACATCAACCACAACATACGGCCAACCTATGCCGCTTCACTTAAGCGACCTGCAAGGTCCCAACTCGTCGACGTCGTTGGCCCCATGCGCGTTGCTTGAATCAACTCATACTTGGATCGTACTAAATGTCACACGTCTCATCAAAAGTGTGTTGGTTGTCTTGTTCTCCTTTCTTTTTTCAGCGCCGCTCTTTGCCATCAATTACCCCAGTCTTCCTCAGCACCAGCTGCCAACCGGAGAAATGCCAGTCGTAAGGTATCTTGCTGTCGCTGGTTTGTTGTTGGGCCAGGTCACTGCCGCTTCTGCTCAGGTCACCGCGAACAGAACCTCTGTCGTGGAACCATCCAACTTCAATGTCATAGAGGCTCTCCTCGATCTAGGTGTTGATGTCTCTCAGCTTCCCAGAGTATCTGAAATTAGCAAGAGATCTGAGGTCAGATGCTCCACCGCTGTAAGTTCTCTTCAAGCCCCCAAAGTTCTCAGACCTAACGCAAGCCCCTCTAAAGTGCAACTCGCTGAAGCTGGTGTTTGGCGACGCCGCCGTGGAAACACGCAACGAGGCGGCATACGCCAACTTCACCGGCTCGTACTGGTCCTCGAATCAGGCCGAAATCAGTCCCTACTGCATTTTCAAGCCATTCAAACCGACTGATGTTTCCGTCGCCGTGCTCATTTCTCGGTTGACGCAATGCCCGTTCGCGGCGAAGAGCGGCGGCCACGCTGCCATGGCTGGTGCGTCTAACATCGAGGGCGGGATCACCATCTCTTTTGTGAACCTGAAAAGTATTTCCTTGTCTTCTGACAAGAAGATTGCCTCAATTCAACCTGGAAATATCTGGGGTGAGGTCTTCGAAGAGCTGACCAAGTCTGATGTCTCGGTTGTCGGAGGCCGACTCTACAACATTGGGGTGGGTGGCTTGACAACAGGAGGTAAGCTAGCGTCTTTGATCCTCAAAGTTACCTTAGAACACATCGAAAGCTAACCTCAAGTGCAGGCGGCATTTCCTTCTTCTCAGGCATATATGGATGGGCTTGCGATAACGTCGAGAGCTATGATGTAAGATCGGCAAGACGTCCTGCCTAAGGTTCTAGAAATAATTACACTAACAATCAACAGGTTGTTCTCGCAAGCGGTATCATCGTCAGGGCAACACCTAATCAGTTCTCCGATCTCTACTGGGCTCTCCGCGGGGGTGGTAATAACTTTGGCCTTGTCGTGAGCTTCAATCTCCGAACGATTCCTCTGGCCGGCGGTAAGATGTGGGGTGGCTCGAGAGTCTACACGGAGGATAAATTTCCGGCAGTCTCGACGGCGTTTTCCAAAATCATTTCCAATTCACCCGGAGACCCCAAGGCCGGCATCTACGTTGTCTGGTCATACAGCAGCGAAGCCAAGCTCGCTATCCCGGCGCTGTACTACTCGGAGCCGGACGCCGAAAACGCCACCATCTTTTCCGACTTCAACGCCATCGATGCCATCTCGGATACGACGCAGAACAGGGTCCTTGCCGCGTGGGGTAAGGAGACAATGAACGATAGCCCTCCGGGTCTCCGGGAGGCCTACTACGTGATCACGACAAAGGCCGACCTCGAGATTCTCAACATCGCCCTGGACATTTTCTACGAAGCAGTGCCCGCCGTTGCCGACATTTCCGGAATCATTCCCGTTCTCGTCACGCAGGGCATCACGGTCCCGATGCTGGAGAAAATGCAGCAAAACGGCGGAAACCCGCTCGGCCTCGACGTTGAAGATGGTCCTTTCTACATCATGCAGCTCTGCGCAATGTGGGACAACAAGGAAGACGATGACACGGTCTACGCGTACATGTCGGCTATTTTGGAAAAAATCACGGCGGAGGCCAAAAGTCGTGGTGTCGACAATGACTACGTCTACATGAACTACGCCAGCCAGTTCCAGAATGTGGTTGGCAGCTACGGGACGGAGAACGTGGCGAGACTGAAGAGCATTTCGAGGAAGTACGACCCTCGGCAGGTGTTCCAGAAGTTACAACCGGGGTATTTTAAGCTTGATCGGGCGCCGATACCGGATTCTGCTTATTTTTCCATTTAACTGTCGTCTATTCGGGCTGTCTAGTTCGAAACTTAGTGTACAGCATGCTATGAGAGACTCATTTGCGACCAAATTGCCGAGCTTAAACGTCAAACCAAAAAACCATGACTCGACAGTTGAGACGGATGGCATCAGATGGTATATGGTGAAGCTAAACTTTTTCTAATCTCACACCTTCCGATTATGCCCAATATTACTTACTACCTTAAACGATGGAAGGATTGTAAGCATCTTAGGATCTGACTTTCAAAATTGATGATCAAGGTACAAAGCAAGTCTAAGCCGAACACACATTATATGGGCCGTATCGTCTAATCCAATACATAAAGAATGCGCAGTATTTATATCTGTTTCTAAACTCCTGAAGTCTCAACGGTTCTCTTGAAAGGTCTGAAAGGTCATGTCCGAGTTCGACCGTTTTCGAAGCATTTTGAGCATCCAGGGTGGTGCCCTATCCCTGAGACTTCCCCCTCTGATCCTTCGTTCCAGTAGCCACTGGACCGTCATCGTAGCCATGGCGCAGTTCCACACAAACGACACGATCATACCCAGAGAGAAAATGAGCGACGAAGAGAGCGCGCTTGTTCCGCAAATTGTCATGATGCCAAAATCATCGATGCCGTCTGGGAGGGCGAAGCCTGAGATGAGGAGGATGGCTTGACAGACAATGAAGTCAAGGCCGTTGATCAACTTGAGGCGGCGGTACATGTAGAATGTAAGATCGGGACGGGAGCTGAGTCTCTTTTGGTAGAGGTAGAGGGGCACTGATATCGCGGCCAGGCCAATGGTCACGAAACCGATGATCTAGAGCGTTTTTAGGATTAGCTGCTGACCAGAGAGAGGTCTTGTCGAGGACCAGGCTAGCTTACTCCGTGTTCTGTTCTTCCATGATCTGAATCTCCCATGGCGATTAACCCAGTGACTAGCCCCGCGATTGCCAGTGGGCCGAATAAGATGACTGTGAATATTGTCTGCCATCGCTCCATTTTTCGTTTGGTAGGCTCCTGGAGTGCGCGGTCGATCATGATGCATAAGCTGGGCGCTGATGCCAGTACTAAAATCACGGGATAGCAGAAGAAAAACGCCACGGTCATGCATATAACTACAGCCTGTCAGATAAATAGCAGACTTGGAGGGAAAGGAGAACCACCCACGATGCACATATGTCAATAACACGAACTGATCCTCATCGACACCATTAACCTTGTACGTGTTATCCGAAAAGTCAATGGAGAAGGCATTTCCTTTGCTGGTAACGTTGAGTAATATACAAGTCGGTATCGTGACGTTTAAAACGGGGTTAGCCGAGATATTTCTCTGGAGTAGTTCGTGTAGTCCTGCTACACCCTTGATTATCCAGCAATGATCAGACGTTGAAAGTTCGTGGAAGTGCTCTTGGAGAAAGTCTGTAATATAAAGCTCATCCCAAGGACTGAAAGGACAGTCTCGTCGTATGGGTAGTATAGTGTCATTGATTTGTCGATGGTGCAACGAGATGCGTCGAGCAAGACCAGGATCCTCGGGGATACCCTCTGAAGATGGCCTAGCACCCACAAGTCCGATGCAGAAGAAAAGTATGCTGAGTAACATGTTGGCTGAATGCATGGTTCGACGACCGTTCGAGTAGTGAGAAGAAGGAGTCGACGACCCTCTCATGAATCCTCCGGGGTGGTAATAGATATGGCCACAAGTCAACGGAGTCGCCGGCAGTCCTCTCACCGTAGGTCTTTCTGGTCGTTGCAAGAATGACGAAGGCTTGAGGCTGGATCTCAGGGGCTTGCACGGGGAGATTTGGCCCGTTATGAGGCTTGATCGGCGATTTAAGGTTTCGTCTCATTTGCCCGACAGCGTCGGTATCCTCGTTTTATCGGATCCGGTGGAGACTCGGGGGCCCGCGGAGCTGCTCGTCTTCCGGGGCCATCCTTGCTAGCGCCGCCCATGACTCTGCAGTCTATATGTGCGGCAGCGAAAACCAATATCAAGACGCTTGAGGGCCGACTTGGGGTGGTCTTTTTCTAGTATATGACACTGGGTACGGTGAGGACGCGTCCTTGCTGCGCCACTGCGGTGAAAGAGAAACCTCGAACGCATTACAAAAATCTCAGAAATTAAAAATTAAAGCAATCCGTGACGCCGTCGATTCCGAGCTCGCTTAAAAACAACCCGTTTCCATGAGAAGGTGTAGCAAACAAGATGCGATCCTTCATGCCGGTCTTCGTTCCTGGAGATTGGCTTTTCTCGTCGGCATCATCTCTCGCCATCTTCGAGCCAATTTCATCCCCTCCCAGACAATCCATCCCGCGCGAGGTCATTGAGTCGAATGGATGAGCGGATGCTGGCGATGGCTCTCCCGGGAACTTCGGTATGTCTTGCAGCAGCTCGGGGAATTGGGCAAAGAAGTCGGGTGCCATTGTCCAAGATCTCAGGTCGTGGATCTTTTCTTTGAAAAGAGGTGAGAGACCATACGTGCCCAATTGCATGTTTCTAGTATAGCAGTCACGAAAGTCGTAAGGCCACACTATTCGCAAGTGCTCTTTGAACATGTGCCAGAATATATTGCTACAGTACCGATGTGGTGCAATGGCGAATCGGTATCTCAAAGCTGGCCTATAAATAATTTCCAAATAAGCTTCTTGTCCTATCCCCCAGAATTGGATCCACTAACCAGGCAAAGTAATCAGCCGAGGGGTCATGGGTTATTTCCTGCAAAGGTCTTTTTGAGGTTAGCCCAAGCCCATTTTTTAGTACGTCAGATGTGTTGCACTTGCGATTTCAGATACCATATCGGTACGACTGCAGACTCCACTAGTTTCGGATCTGCGTATGCCCTCATGAGAAGATGGATTATGAACAGAACGGCCAGACGTTCCGCTTGGCCACACGCCGAGAAGCAGATTTCATCGAGTTGGCGAACCTTTCTCCACAAAGGCGTCATCCTGCCCGAGTACGCCAAGCTATCCCAGCCGTGAAGCACGGCGTGAACAGGGACGTCCTCGCCAGTCTCTCCTTCCAGGCGTATTGCGGCATCGGGGAGAGCGAAAGGCTCTTGGAGTATTTCGTTGCCAGCATTCCAATTGTTGCAGCTGACTTGAGAACCATCCGAGAGTCGTCGAACCCTGGTAGTTGAGGAGCAGTGGCATGTAGATGATGAGAATCTTTCTGTTTCTGTTCCTGTTTTCTGCTTCTTGCTTGGCGGTACGGATGTTTCGAGCGTTTCAGGCGCAATCCGTGGCTCATCTGTGTCTTTGAATGACGCAGGCGCTGCGGAGTCGGGCTGGAACATTGAGTCGCTTAGAAGTTGGCTGATATCAACAGAGAATTCATCCACAAAGTCAATCCCAATTTCCTTCTCGAAACCCTCACGGGTAGAGCCATCGAAGATAGGCATGGACGAATATGCGGGCGAAATTGAGGAGTCAGGGCTCGGATGTTTCGGGGAAATCTCTCTCATCGATGGCGGCTTCGGGGAAGACGGCACGTCACAGACCAGTCTAGTCGAATCCCATGATTCGGCTTCCTTGACATGATCGTTGAACAGAGAGGAAGTTGTTTTCAGACATCGCATCAGCTTATTCCTCTGTTCAGTCACTTTTGACAACTCCGCCATAAGCGATGCTGTAGTAGCGGTGTCATCTTGATGACTCAATTTCTCCACCAAGCTCTCGAGCTGAGCTATACGGTTCTTCGTCTTTTCGCGAGCAACTCTTTGGGCTTTGCGATCGTATTCTCTCTTTTTGAGTCTCTGAGAAGTTGCGGCAGTCTCTAAAGTCCGCCCCGGCGATGGAGCAGCTGTGTTATGCGTACCTGCGTTCGTCGGTGTGCCGGCCATTTCAACTTGCCGTTGGATCGCAAATAAGGGTATTATGCAGTCTAGGTAAACGATAATCTGACGTTCACTTGTTACTCAGCAGTAAGAAGACATGGGAAACGGTGGGTACATGGTGACGTGGGTGGGGTTTGTCCGACACTTTGTGGCGAGAATGCGGGGGAACAAAGATGTTAGGGGAAAGTGACCTCGGATCCTCGGTAACACGCGGTACGGAATGGTTTCATTTTTCAACTTACTAAACTGCTCGACCACTTATGTTACACTAGAGCAACAAATTGGAATAGTATTGGGTTGTTTAGTGCGTCTGACCAGTGATGTTACCTGCACTCAGAATGTGCATCATCAATAATGATCTGGCGTATTTTTTTCACCCCTAGTCTAAGTAGCTAGGCCTTGCTCTGTGTTCTTCTTCTCAGATAAAAGTAATATGTCCCAGATTGAATATCCTTGTTGTCCATAGCACCGACGACCGTGTTTTCATCAACGTATCGGAACGCGTCAATGATGGGGAACTTGTCATAAACCATTGCAGCGGTCACAACACCCCGAAATTTAACTTCCCGGACCTAATATATCGGTTACAGCCACAGTCTCAACGCCTAGAAGCAGTCTTAAATGGGTGCACTCACTCGCGCATGGCCGTAGTCAGAAAACCATGTTCGTTTGCCGTCTTCTTCGTACCGCATGATCGGGTCCACATCATCGACGGTTCGGAAGTCTTTACCCGCCCACTTGAAGTTGCGAAGTTGTAGGTGAGTGGGGTGTCCAGTGTCGAAACTTCCCCCTTCCCATTGCCCGACAAGAAATTCTGGCTTCACAGGTTTCAACTGATCGTAGACAGCTGCGATGGTAGCCTCATCTACATGGCCTTCGACCTTGGCGAGTTCCGCAAACTGTTGTTCAGGTCTAGATAATCAGTGAGAATCATTGAAACACTTAATCAGGGCTAGGAGCGTTATGCGAACGTTGATGTCATTGTAGAGGTTATTCGTAAGATAAGGGGGTACAGTAACAAAGTCTTCAAGAAAACCTACTCTCTACTATGTTTGATTTCTTAAATAATGCGGCTCTGCATCGCTATTTAAGCAATTTGATTGCGCTCACTGTAAGAAGTGGCGCCATTAAGAAACACGTCACGTACGTTGCGGTGGGCCGAGGATATGAGTCAAAAGCTCGTCCCCACTCCTGACTCGAGTTTGACATGTTACAGTAGAAACGGCTATACAAATGAGAGTACTACGCAAACAGTCAGATATATCTACTAAGCAGCAGAATCTAGGCACAATGAGTATACGAGTCTAATTCTTAAAGATGCTCATCTTCTACCAGAAAAGCGGTAAGACAATCTCCTGTTAAACTTAAGACACCTTGATTACAAGCAAAAGGTACGCGATGCCTTCAGAATCAATGAGCCTTGCGTGAAGCAGGACATAGAATTTCGGCTTGGCATGCAGCATAAAGATCAGGGAGAAATTGGACTGCTAGTTTGACTGGAATATTTGAGAACATAATCATTAACCGCAGTGGCCCAAGGTGGATCCTTTGACTCCGATACTCGGAGTATTTGCCGCAGGTGCCGCAGGTCCTGTGTTTCGTCAGTTCGGACAAAGACGAAGCTTACACAGCAATTATTCGCTTGTGTAAGGATATTCGGGTCAATTCATTGCATGAACCCCACTACTTCTGCCCGCATCGCACTTGCGCCAAGAGTAGCAATCTTCTTGACAGGGTCATAATTTACGCTCTTGAAGTTCAACATGCTAATGATCACATCCTTGAAGGAAGGAGATTTGAAGCCATGGTCTCAGATAGCAAACTCCAAGCAAGAGGAGTACAGAAAATCTACAACGAGTGACAGTACTTCGATGGTGCTTGGAACGAGAACCACGCAAGGATTAGGCTGCATCTGGATGGTAAATGGCTTTGGATGGAGCCTGTATGGAGAGTCGTTTAGCATTAGTACAAGTATTGATTCATGGCTCAACTTTCGAGTCACAGGCTTCAAAGCAGCGAACGTAGGTGGCTGAGCATCAGAGGACATTGCGATCGTGACAACGGAGGAGGATAATGCTTCGTGAAACAAAAGTTGAAAGTGGGGTGTATTTATTTCACTGTTCATAGATCAACCTTAGCCTCAATCATATGCTACGTTTGATTATAATTGCGAAACTCTCATCAACCCAGCGGCACCAACGTTTTCGCCCTCGGCCTTCGGTTTAAAGCTGAACAAGTCCACAATGTGACGTGAGAGGGATAGATATCAGTATGGTGACATCTGCACAGTCTATTGCAGGAGCTCACAGATTCTTTCGTACATACAAAAACCGCAGACTAGGTCGTTTTTCATCCGTTACGATGACGGGACCCGATGGGGGTGTCCGTAAGGAGCCGCCATGGTTCTCGATTTACAATGGATAGACTCGGAATCTCGAACGGAGTCTACAGCTACGAGGACTGTTAAAGTACGACATTCTCATTTCTATTACCTGATGTAAAACTCAACGACCCAAAAATCTTTAGTGTAAATTGAGTTGCGATAACCCGGCACAGTTCTACATTGAAGTCCGTAACGGGCGAATCGGGCACTAAGCGTAGTGGACGTCATCAGATGAAGCCTGACTAGAAGCAAACGCATATTGAAACAAGGCAAACAAGGATAGTTTCCAGCCTTGTAAATGAACTTGGAACATTAACTCGACTAAGACTGTTTTAGATGGCTCACTCGCGTCTACTTCGTCCGTTGAAAGAGCGAAAGAGGCTGTTGAATTTGTAAGTTCTTGTGGACTCTAAAGCTTCTTTTGTGAGCGTCTGTGATCTGTTGCAAGCAAGAAGTCCATAATCATTATGCTTTTATCGTCACCTTTAGGCATGATTCTCTCTCAGTCCAGCTTCATAGAATAATTCACCGAGGATTCAAGGATTAGAACCTCAACCGACCAACAATCAATATCGGTCGCCAAGATGACCTGCGGAACGCCACAAATTTCTACGGAGATGCTTCTGCACCCTCAAGACCTGCGAGTTAAGGTCGCTCTGGTAACTTGAGAATTACTTTATGTGTCTTATTTAGCTTGTCTTTTTTGGCTAGAAACGGACCGTCAGGTGGGAAACCTGCCAACAACATTGACAGAGGTGCCTCGCAGGGGTTTGACCGCGCCGTTAGTATCCACCTTGCCAGCCGTGGAGCAAAAATTCTTAGCACCTGCTCATCGTCAGGATCACTGGACCACATCAGATCTCTTGAACATACGGTCCAGCAAGAATACTGCTCAAACCAGATGGATGCCTCAAAAATTGTAGGACTAATTTCGAACCTTCTTTAGCCAGACTTGCCTAAAATGGATGCTGATGAAGTTTGCGAAGAGCTCGGTGGAAAGCTAACATCATCATCAACAATGCAATCCATTTTAAAGCGCGGCCCGCGCGTGACCTTGATGTAGGATATGCCCAGAAGTTTTTAATAGGGGCGCTTGAATATCCTTCCCAGAAAAAAGTACATTCAGCCGGGATCTTGGGTAATCAAAAACTCAAGTGATTGTGCTCGAACCGCGGCACCATTCCATTAAGTCTTAGTTTGAAGAAATTGACAACCACACCGGCAAATATCAGTGCAAATATTGAACTTGGAAGTGCAATGTTGTACACATCCATCAAAGCGGCAATGGAATCCATGAGACCATATTGGATAAACCTTCTAAGCCAGGACACAAGACCGTTGGGAAGCACGGTGAACTCCCCCTGCTTCAATGGTACGGCAACAGATTCGCTCTAGGGAAAGGTACCATGGAATATGCGTGATGCCGCATTGAAGGTGGTGAGCAAGGGGAACTCCATTTATGACGGATGTGGACTTCTAGAGGATGTTGCTTAAGTCGCCGGTCTGATGGTGAGTAAAGCGTTGCTATGGACCAATGGTGCAGTTAATGGTGGCTCCGTTCAGATCTTGTCATTATAATAGAATTCATTGATTGCTGAATTATTGATAAGCTACGAGTTCAGTGTAAAGACTAGAATAGTCGATAAACAGCACGCTCTTTTCTACTGCTTTCGTGTGGTGCTGTTTCTTTTCTCACGAAAACCTTTTCTAATGTTTGAAGATTGTGTCTCCCAGCATCTACCTACATTAGCAAAAGCGAAGCCACCTAACCAGTGTCTTCTCACGTAGCCCATCTTTCAACTTAGTACTTATGGAAGAAAAAATCTTAGTTAGGTTCTAATTACGCTCAACCATAGTATCTAGGCTTGGTTCTTTTACTCATTCACTTTTTGGCAATACAAGCTACTTTCTACCCACTTAGTGTGCTCATCGCTGTTTCGTCTGACTCGTCACAGTATGACCCCACAAAGGCTTGGCTTTGTCAAGTCTTTGACGATATTGAAATAGGATCTGGATGATATCAGACCCAGCTGAGATGTCGATCAATCTACCCTCAGAAGGAATTAACGCGGAGCAAGGTAGATACATCGGAATTCCCCGTCACACTTTCAATGATTGAAGTGCGTATATCAACACGAGTATGTCCATGTCGTTCCGCCACAATCTTCCACCCATCCAGAACGTCGTCTCGTAACTCAACATCCCATGATGCGCCATACGAGATATGAACCGAGTAGTCCAATACTTCGTATTTGAATAGGATAGCCGCTCGCTTCCAATTCCGCCACAACTCCATAAGTTTTAGATTCGGCAAATGAAGTGCCGCCAACGCTCCGTGACGTAAGAGCTCCTGAGTATATTCCGCGTTCAGTCTTGGATTCATATCCGAAGACGTAAGGGCCAAGTGTCGAAGACATGACCAGCGTTCGGGATCATATAGCAGCGGCGGTACGGAAAGTTGGATGACTTCGTGGAAGAAATGCATCGCGTTGAGAACGTCAAGCGAGCTGAAGGAAATTAGACGACGACATGCTCGCACGGCCGCCCGGGCAACACGGCGACTGTGTTCCGATTTATCGTACCGCCCATGAAATCTGTCGCATCGAACCTCCCAGAGCTTGACTTTCTTTACTGTAGGCGGGAGGCTTTCAAGAAGTGCGGCGTTTGCATCGTCTCGTTCAAGTTGATCCGACATGTCGACACCACGCCAAGGCCTGTACTCAATGGCCTCCAAATTGTTCAAGCGCCAAAGAAGAACTCGAATGGCGTTTTCAGATAGAGTTCGGCAGTCCTCGTTGCTAAACCTTTTGACTATTGCAGCCCTTGAAACGACTGGTGAGACGTTTGACTCATTTCCAACTGAGTTCGTCAGGTTGAAAGCGGCGGTTTTGAAATCCAGAAGATTTCCCACGGTACGCTTTCTTGCCCCATGGATGGCAGCGGATTCATAATCAAACCAGGAAAGGCGATCAGATAGGTGCCTGATTCTAGAGTTCACCCTGAAGTAGTGGGCAGTGTCGTCGGGCGATTTAGCACTGAAACAAAGGTGAAGGCCAGAGTGTCGTCTGTCGCCCTTTTCGAGGTTCCAGTCCGAAATTACATCCAAAAGAAGTGTCAATTGGGAGTCGAACACGCTGTTGTTGTGCAGTATTTCTTCGGCATCCTCTTCCTCGCTGCAAACATCGCAACTATACGATCCCAATTCCAAACTGAGCCAAATTATCTTGACATACATCTGACGGCGGTCAATGACGTAGTCTCTGAGTGTGATGATGTCGTCACGAGACTGAAGCTTCAGAGTCTCGAAGTTTCGCTTTTCGAAGAAATCTTGCCATTCAGCACAAACGGTGGGCAAGAGGCCTTTTTGATCCGACGTCTCTTCAGACTGAACCTTGGATAATTCTTTTAGGATTATGAATCGAAGCTCTGATGGAAAAGTGTTCCAATTGTACGAGAGTATGGTTGGCTCGTGTTCCCTGGGGCTGTCGGCGCCTTGGGATTGCTCAAGCTGTGGCGTGGGCTCCTGGGGCGGCTCGTTTAGCCCAGAGCCCTGGGCGCCGTCCATCATTCTCGCAAGCCTACAAAATCGTCTGGGGAATGATACGAAAAAACCTAGTATAGATTTGAAGAGTGATTTGCACATAATTGCAATGAAAGTACTTCGTAACCCACGTGATGTATTGCTGTATCGATGAAGGACTAAAGGCATTGTGGTTGTATAAAAAACATGATGGGATAACTGCAGGTGGGGAAGAAGAAATATTTAATAGTCCTAGAGAGGAAACCCTTGCAGCTTATCTGTTGAGATCAAAAGAACGAAGACTTTCAATAAGTCGGATGAAGTTCAGCCATTTGAGAGCCTCACATACTCAGCAAGATGGCGACAGTTCCCGTGAAGTCTAAAAACAGGGTCTATCTTTAAAGTCCTAGTCGGAAAATTGAACGATTTTCTCGGAATTGAGCAAAACTTAACCAAGCTCGGATTAAGGTAACTTGTATACTTATGACAGGCCGCTAAACCTTTTTGAATGCGTTCATATTGCAATAGGTATCCGGTCAATTTTCAAACTTAAGAAAGGAGTTGAACTTACCTACCCGGGATGGGGGGGGTTTTCAAAAGGGGCCCATGCCCATACCCGACTTATGTATAGTGGTGAGGTCTTATCCTTCTTCCCGTATAATGGTGGAAGTATGTAGAAATTATAAAGCGACCTTTAAGATCACGAATTGCTGGTTTGTTAATGATATTTTAAGACATCTGTTCTATATCTTCTCTGTTTAAATGTTTAGAATGATCATATCTATTCAGAGTGGGTCGATTCTGGGCAAAAAAACAGAAGGAAAGAAGGAATAGTGTCTTCGGGTTGTACTATCCACACATCGTGTTTTAGATTCCACCTGCTCCGGTAAGTGCCTATGACCCCTAAGATCACTAAGCGTACATCCTTTCCGGGCACTGTTGATTACCCCCCCCAACCCGCGTAGGTACCTTACCTAAGACGATAAGATAGATACCGATAAGGAGCGATAAGGAGCGATAAGATAAGATGGATAATTGCCCATGCACCTCCCCTCCAGAAAGTGACGATCACAAAGCTCGAGCTTCACCAACACCAACAATGTGACCAAAGCTTGGGATTGTGACGATCCCCATCCCGCAAGGATGCCGTCCCAGTTCATACCAGGTCAAAACTCTCGCCACCGCATTGCTGCAATCGCCCTATTCCGTGCTCTCGTCCGCGAAGCCCGCGCCATATCACTCCCAAACGATGTCCTCCGCAAAGGAATCGAGAACCCACTGCCGAGGCTCGTGAAGAAAGGATTCAAGCGCAACCAGACAGAGGCGAGCTACCGTCTTGTTTTCGCTGCACTAACGAAAGGATACAAGGTGTGCTACTCTTGGACACTGCTCGCAGCGCCCCTTGGTACTGATGGTCTATAATCGCAAGTTTCTCAACCTCTTCAAAAGCGCCCAGACCCCCGACTCGAAAGAACATTCCGAAATCCTCACCTACCTCCGCGAAAAGAGCCTTCATGATGCGAAATCGGAAGCAGGCAAACCGCCGCCGCCGACGCCGAGAATACAACGCCCAAAGCCCAAGTGGCCGCCCCTCTTTGAGCGCGTTTCGCACCCGGGCCAACCACCCGTCTACATCTCCAAGCGCCACCCCATACCCCGCGAGGACCTCTCCGGCACACGGCACATCCCCAACATTGCTGTAACCGCACATGGCGTCGTGTTCCTGCGCCAGGGTAAGCCGCAGCACCGCGCCGTGTGCGACTACGTCCAGAAGAAGAACAAGTACAAGATCAAGCAGATGAATCATCTGCTCGGCTCGATGCGCGAGGAACAGCAGTTTGCAAAGGAGGAGGACAATTGGGATAGGCACCTTAACAGCGAGATCCGCTCGCAGCAGTGGGCGGTGAAGAGGGCGATCGAGTTGCGCCAGAAGCGCGAGATGCCCCTCTCAGACCTCCCCGACTGGGTTGAGGTGCCGGTCGCTCAGGGGCCCAAAGAGCCTGAACCATGGGTCTATGAAGAGAGTTTCCGCCACAGCGTGGCTGCGACGTTTGCTGATGCCAGCAGAAGGTTGAATGAGGATGCGGCAGATCAGTCTGCGAGGGCGAGGGTGTTTTTGCAGATCCGTGAGGCGGAAAGAAAGGCGTTGAGGGGTGATCATGAGTATTATCGGAAAAAGGGCCACCTGTGGATGATTGATACACCGTACAAAAAGAAACAAAGAAGGGTTGCGAAGCGCAAGAAGGGAGGGGAGGACAGGCACGACCGAAGAGCTGTACGGCAGGACAAGGCACGGAAGAGCAATTGGGGTGGCCTCAGCCCTACTCCCATCCAGGTTTGAATCTCTTCTCCCAGGACAAAACCTGTCTGTATTTTTGTTGTACTATTTCTATAGATAATTTCCACGATGCCGCTGTGGCGGCTTGCGGGTGGGATGGGTCCGCGATCCCATTACGGGCCCAAGCCATTACAGGTCTTTGACAGCGTTGACCAGACTGTCTCTTCAATTGCCTCGCTTCCATCTTTCCTCTGTCCTGGCCTAATATTTCTTCTCTTCAGTCAACTACCTTACCGTCACTTGATTTATCTTGATTGGTACTGAGCCCATTGCTCGCCAAAGGGGTTGCATCTTGGGCAGCCAGAGCCACATGCATTTAAGTTCAACCCTCACTCCTGGTACTAAAGACGAAGCGGTCTTCCCACCTGAAGCTTTCAAGACAATACGGTCAGTTTAGAACCGTTTCAGCCACGATCCAAACAACACGACTCCAGGCTTCCGCGGACATCAGAGAAAGGCAACCGGGGAGGCTGCGCCAATAGCTCTGTTTGGGCTACTTTATAAATAAGACACTTCCCCCCCTCTCCCTTTGCCTCTCCTCTTTCCCCATCCCAGAGTTCCACATAGTGCCAACACACAACCACAACTAGCAAACTCGACAGAGACATGAACGAACTAACACCCAATACTTTCGATTTCAGTACCGCACACTCGACACTGCCACTGGAAGCCATTGGCAAAGGCTTCTCGGCTCTGTGTGGTCTGCACCGACATCTGTCGGTGCAGACAAGATATTCGTCATCAAGCGGGAAGACGGTGGTCCTGGTCGGTCTGTTGCAAACGAACACAAGATGCATCGCCATATCATCCAAATATTACATGGAGACGACAACAACAGGCTCCGCCCCAACATACCTCATTGCGAAGGCTTTCTCAGCCACAATGCGACTGCCTGGGATCAGATGCTTCCCAGATTTCCCAAAGGATACACAGGCTGCAACGCACTTGTCAGCGAGAAAATCCCCCCACTGTCTCGAGATATTCGCAAGCTCCTGGCCCAGAAGTTCCACCCAGACATGGATCCGGATGAGATTGCCGATAGCTTGACAAACAGCCATTGTCTGGTTCGACCTTACTTGGGACGCCGAAAGCTTCGAAACACGGAGGTGAATCAAGACAGGCCGAGACTGAGATTCTTCAGTCTGAGAAATTTTCCACTTCACGTCGACCAGATGGAGACCCTCGGCCTGGATCTTCAGGAGTACGCGGTAGCCATGGCTGAGGCTCTTGCATTTCTGCACTGGTCCGCCAAAGTCGACGCAAATGATGTTGAATTTGTGCTTGCAAACATAAGGAAACCCCAAGCTTCTCCCGGCGAAGACCCGTCAAAATCAAGCTTGGGTCCTGCAGACTTCCATTCAAATGCTTTCGGATCTCACGCCATGTGGATCCTGGACTTTGACTGCTGCAGAACGATGACCTTGGATAGCAATGGGATAAAGCAAGCATGCAGAAGCTTTTGGCGGAACGATCCTTACTATCCAAGGCCTGGGAGCGACAACGCGAAGGACAAGGAACTTTGGGACGTATTTCGAGCTCAGTTCTTGAGGTCTAGCGACGAGATTTTGAGCGGTGAAGGGGAAGATGTGCGGCGACTGCCACAGGAACTGATCGAGTGTATCGAGGAGACAAAGGGGAGGTTCACGAAGGGAACGGACTTCTGGTAGGATAGCAACTAAGATGGCAAAGCATAGTGGCATGTCGGTGATTAGGCATGGGTTGGAGCAAGTACTGTATGTGCTTGTGTATGGAATATGAAGATCATCTCTCAACCATTGCGGCATCACACTATTCCTTCATGTGAAACGTACCACCTACTTCAGGGTTCAATTTAGTAGGTCCACCAAGGTAGGTACATCACAGCGGTATGGCCGAGATATGGCGGCCAGGGCCTCCACAGCTGGGCTTCCTTCCCGCTGCGTGTTACCTGTGGTCATCCCATCTTCGCCTGCCCGTCTGCGTCTGCATCGAGGAACGGTGACGCTTGGGTCATCTAGTTCTACCCCTCGTGCCAGTCCACCTTCACTTTCCATCCCTCTCCCACACTTTATCTTCGCCCGTACCACCCTCAACCTCAGCTGCAGTGGGAGGGATAAATTCGCCACCATCTCGTGAGCATCATTTGCAATAGCAGCCGCCTCGACAATCATTTCAGATATCAATTTCCGGATGCGGTCGTATTTCGTACAGGCGGCGCGAGGCTGCCTACTCTGATTTATGACCCAAGTTATTTGACATCATATGGAACGATCGATTCGCATATCCTCAAACGACAATTGACGACGAGACAAAATCGGCAGTCCAACAATGGCCGTCGATCCAACGGCATTTACCATTCCTTCGGGACGCAGAACGCCAGCGCCAGCTGCCAACCGCCCCAGGACCACGAAACGCGCATGTCCGTAAAGGCCGCCAACGCTTAGAAAGTTGTGCCGCTGAGACACGGGCCGCATACATTTATTCGGCTGAGATCATCGCTGCGCCGGTATAGACGAGGCGGGCGGCTGGCCCCTTGCTAACCATCCGAAATAACTAGAGTGACACGATCTCTCTGGGGTTTGACAGAATCCAGATCGGACGCGCGGGGGTCGCCACACACGGACTCGCGGTCATAATGATGGACCTGCCACACGCTCTCTAGAGTTCCTGGAGACCCCTTGAGGGTCAATCCCGCGACTTCAGACAAAGAAGAAATCTAACAAGGTTATGGGGGGGGGGACGGACCAGATGGACTGTGTCTGGCCCGGAGGCCTGCCTAGATGTACCAACGAACCTCCTCCTCACATCATATGCAGCTACAGGCTCCCAAGGAATACAGAACCTGAAGCGACGGCATTGGTCAGTTGTGCTTGGCTTTCATCCAGCTCGAAGTACTGATCCAACATGAGCTTAGTTACCCGTCCCGACATCAGTCTGTCTAGAGACATTGGATCAACCCCATACAACCTCTCCCCATGACCAATCTGTCATTTGAGCCGATGCGGTCGGGAGCACATGCAATTGCCAGGACGATCTCACATGGATTTTCAGCTGAGCAGAGATCATGAGGCTGTTGTGAATGCAAGATGGGCCAATCAATAATTACCGAATGCTGCGTCCGCCACTGCGTGCACACCACGCGCCTGCGCTCTACGCCCACGTTTTGTGGGTTTCTGGCAGACTCTGGCGGATCTTCGGGAGCTTCGCGCTAGGTCACATCCCACAAAACAAAGCCATGCCAGGTTCATTTCGTCAGCGGTTCTTCGAGAAAAAGAGGGGCACGGGGGGTAATCGTCACAATCACAGTGGTGGTTGATTCTTTCTTTTTCTTTTCCCTCCTTTTCGACGCCTCCAGGGATGCAAAAACCTCCGGTCGGGATTATGGCATGGGACTGTGACGATCATTGCTGCTCGGAGACTGAGCATGCCTCCAGACCTCTAGAGTGAGGCTGGCAGGCGGGATTCATATTCACAGGCGACCACGGTTGCAATGGATCTCGACCTGCTTGCTCCTTTGCCGTTGGTCCCCGGTCCAATCGAAGGGCTCGACAGCTGGGTACGGGTTTTAATCACTTGCAGTTTCACACGCTAGACCAGCGGGCCGGGACCTCGAACTGGCATATTTTGCTCGAGGTTGGCCACCAAGGCAACACCCATGCCGTCGCACTCTCGTCGCCGCCCGGTCGAGTCTGCGATTATTCCTTGCAGATGTGGTTTGGACACCCACGACACCCTTCTCTCGAACATGTGCGATACTCGAGCACAACTGCAGCACACCTGCGAACCGCAGATCTCACCGTCTAGTTCCCTCCCACGGGGTCCGCGAAGAAAACAAGGCTCACCAACAGCCTCTCGTCGTGTTCTCGCCCCAGGCACGCGAACTAATCATGCAGCGTTTTACCGTCTTATTCCCTGCTTTTTGAGGTTCTTCATTGCTCTCTCTTTGACCGTCCCTGGCATTGCCAAGGGCCACCCAACATATTCAACTTGCCTCACCCGCAAGGCTGGCCTAAACACAGCAGATCACCCTGTCCCACGGTGCCACCCATATCCTGGGACTGGGGAAGGTGGCGGCGTTCTCTTCTCAAGACGGCAAGCTTCACTCACACCATGGCGGGCCGTGTACTTCACTGTCTTCTCACTTTTCGCTTTTTCTTTCTTTTTGTCCTCACTGGGTTTCGTCAGTGGTCGCAATAACGGTCCGGAGGTGTCATTCTTAAATCACACACGATCCTCCTCCGACACACCCCAAATTTCAGTGTGCAATGAACATGTCTGAGTTGTCTCGTCAAAAGGTCGAACTGTATTGGAGAGGACGACCCTTCCAATCCTTACGGGAACCTCAATCAAGGCATGATCCACTGGATGCTTTTCTCTTAGCTGCAATCTGTACAATCAACTTTTCTGTAGACTTGGAGCACCTTTTAGACGGTTGTGAGCGGCTCTTTTACGCATATGATTTTTTACCTCATTCTGCTACCTTCTTTTGAGCCTACGTCCATCCGGGATCTACGAGTGCTGTTGTTTAAGCTCTGCATGGCTGACGGTGCCTGACCGCGGGACCCCGGAGCCCGGCGCGATGGTGACGCTATCTGGTCTTAACATTAGCCCAAGCTCTATCCGCGCACCGCACATACAGACTGGCGTGGGCCGAGATTAGAGCTGTTAGTCGGCATCTTTGAGTCCACGGCTCCACATCACTACCGGCGCACCCACTCTGTGTCGGCGATATGAGTAATCATTCCCGTCTCAGCGGCCTCGACACGCCGCCCGATACGGCCGATGACCTCGACGAACCTCCTCCCTTCCGACAGACCCATTGCACAAGCGGGTCTCGTGAGCAAGGTAGACACGGCTTTTCAACTTTCACTCGGCCGCTGCCCCAACGACCTATACCAAGTCGCCGGCGATTCATTAATCAGCAAGAGGGAAGCCGCTCCGCTGGCATCAGCGTCTTCAACCATCTGAGCCCGGTAACTGCAGTATCCCCAGAAGAAAGTAATCCCGCCGTCACCGCTCCGACTACACCTTACTCAGCTTCCCGCCCGCCTCTCTTCCCCCACCCTTCATATACACGTGTGCCTCCGCACTTGGCGCAGACTCACCAGCAATCGAACCCAGAGGAACATTACCGCAGCTTACAGGACCAGAGGAACTTGGCTGTCTTTCACGAGCCCCAACAACACTACCACATACCCGAGAACCGCCAAGCCCAGCAAGACTTTAGTCAACAACTGCATCATCATCGTCACTTGTTTCCACATCCTTCGCCGGCGAGCTCTTTACAATCTATCTCTCTCGCCTCTTCGTCTTCGGACACGTCGTCTTTGCTTTGCCATCCACACGATCCCAGGCTGCTCCAAGCCCAGCTCCAAGCACCCACCGAAAACGGCTTTGTTGGATTTGCTTACGCAGACCCCGACCTGACCCCAAATCCTGGCGATCTAGTCCCGATTCAGTTTCCAGGTCCAGAGTCCGCAATTCTTGACCCAGAGCGCCCTATGGGCTTTCCTTTGTCTGGACTTGCCGGACCCACCTATTTATTCCATCACGACGACAGTGACGACTTTCTGCAACATCGGCATACTGGGGTCCTCCAATACCCCGGCGGCTTTCCGGCACCATACATGCATAACCCTGGGCTGTCCATCCTCAACGCCGAGTCTTTCGACGATTATATGTCGGGCTTTCGCGCACCAAGAAGCTTGCCTCCTGGAAAATCCGTTGTGGAGACCAGCGATGAGCCGAAGCGATCATCCAAGAAGCGGTCCAAAGCTCAGTCCACGGAGGGAGCGGAACTCGATGATGAGGAGAGAAAACGATCACGAGGGAGACCTCGTCTGGACACTAACGATGAAACTGCAAAGGACGTGAGTTGGCGACTCAATCTTGTTTTACTTACCCTTGTACTAAGAAACCACATCATGTTGACTTGATCCCTATCTCCTTCTGCGCCTGCTGCCTGTATCAATTCATTCTAACTAGACTAGCGCCGTCGAACACAAATTCGTCTCGCACAGAGAGCCTACCGCAACCGCAAGGAAACGGCAATCCAATCTCTCGAAAAGAAGGTGGACGAATTGAGACGCACTAATGAAGAAATGAGCAAGGAGTTTATGAAGCTCTACGACTTCGCTGTCAGCAAAGGCATGCACGAGAGCACGCCCGAGTTTGGACGACAACTTCAAGCCACAACAGAGAAATTTGTTTCCTTGGCACGGAAGATGAGTGAGGAGCCGGAGAAGGAAGGCGACGTGCTCCCTAGCCAAGAAAATGATGGCGAAGTAGACGAAGTTGGTGGCCCTTCCAGTGGACAAGAGAAGAGCAATGAAAAGTCGCCTTCTGCCGAGTCGCTCTCTGCTGATATCGCCAAGCCGACTGACCATGTCATCTACGATGTTTTGTCAAGCGAGGACCAGCAGCCGCTGCTGCAGTTGACACCACGAACACTTGCGATGACTGCGGTGCATACAGCGTCTTGGGCGCCCGATAGTCAATCTCACATGCCACACTCGACACTATCTCAGGCCCCCTTGGGCTATGAGATTGTGACGGAGCCGACACCGGACAATGCTAGTTTTCCATTCGGTATGTCTTATGAACATAGCCTGGAACAACCAGGCGCTTTCGATCTACTCGCCAACCAGCCCTTTTCCGAATCCCTATTCAATGTGCTCTCGTCGCCAACCTCGTATGCTTATCAGGAGCGGACCTTTGGGCGGCGCCTCCAACGCTCGACGCTGGAGAAGGCCTACACGCTGCTGCGCATGCCCAACCCGCCCAGCAGCCTCCTCAGCAGCGCCTTCGGCTTCAGTCTACTTTTCGAGCCCAAAGAGAAGATCATTGAGCGGATAGCTAACTGTCTCAGTGTCAACCAACGCGAAACTTTGTTCAACTGGAAAGTTCCATTCCTGCACCTAGGTGGTGGAGGAACATGGTTCGACGAGATGAATGGCTTGGATGAGATGGCGTACCCGAGCGGTCACAAACAGAGGGACCCGGTAGGAAACCAGGGAACGGCCGAGCCGTATCGGCAAAAAGTTGACTCTCTATTCGGGATGGGACCGTGGGATCCGCAGACGGAGGAGGTGCGGGACCTTAGAGTGGAGCGGGCCGCCGCGAGACTCCGCATGAACGTCCCGGGCCTCCAAGGCGAGTTTTACGACGCGGACGAGGTTGAATGGGTCCTGCGGAAACGCGGAGTCGATATCCCGGCTGCCGCGGATTTTGTCACGGCCGAGATCGATCCGGCAGACTTTTCGGACGAAACGGCGGTTGCGGGACGCGCCCTGAGCAGCGGAATGGAAAACAACAGCGACAACATGAATACAGCCGCCGACATCCTCGGCTCGTTGAACTCTTATGGAACGAGCCCTGGTGACGCTGCTGCTCGGCAATGGCTTGGACAGACGTTGAAGCCTACGAGGCCGTCCGATGTTCATTTGGGCGATACTAGGTCTGTTGCGCAGTCTAGCGAGGAAACGTCGAGTCAGATGGCCCTGGATCCGAACCTTGTCGGTGATATGTTTGGGCTTGAAACCACACCTGCCAACCAGACCTCGAATATTCCCGGTTCAAAGAAGAGAGCGGTGACGATCAATGTTGGGGTGCTGGTTCAAGGTACGTTTCTTTCATTTCTTAAAGCAGCGCTTTTGCGTCTGGACGATTGACGATGCTAATGCGGAGAAAAGAAATCGGTCTCAAATCCGTTTGCTTGGGACGGTCACCTGGGATCCGGCCGCGAGATTTGAATATAGCGTTTTGGGCGTCACTGACTACGTGACCGTCGATTTCCACCTGAATTCTTTTCTTTTGGGGGGGGGGAGAGGGGCGTACTTATTGGGCTTTAGACCGTGCCGGTACCAGAACGGCCAGAAGCCTCGAATGGCTGAATTTAATTATGTCCTACTAGGTTCCTTGTCTCTGTTGTGTCCTACGGGGGACATCGGGTCTGGGGTCATCAATGCACACTTATGATTTATCGGCCGGTGTACCGTCCATGGACATTCATCGTGTTAGTGGCCATCATTGAGCTCGAGTACGTAAGAGTCAACGTTTTCGAGTTGAATTTGCTTGAAACACTTCTCATCGCCGCCTCTGCCCTAATATCGTTGCTTTCCAGAGCTTACCCCGTGTCAAAAAAAAGAAGATTTATATACACAAAATAAGTGTAAGCACAAGATGCGGGGAAAATAAAAAGAGATGGATATCCTCAAATGTACCGTGGGTGAAGATTGTCAAATTTCACTTGGAAAATGTAGCCTTGATCACCTGAATTCTGTTGTTGTTGGTAAAGGAGATGACCAGCGTCTTCCCAGACGTATCCAGGTACGGATGAGCTACGCCGGCGTAGACAAGCCCGCCGTCGATGGCCTGGGCCTGAAAGATCTTGACATCCGGCGTCCACGGGCCCTCGGGGCTCGCGGCAGTGCGCAAGAAGACATCGCCACCGCCGATACCTTTGGCAAGCCAGAGCTTGTTAGCTATCAACGACCCCGAAAATGGTACTTGCGAAATGTCACAGGGAGTGAGGTCAGCCACATACCAAGGTGAACAAAGATGTAGCACTGGAAGAACTCATTCCACACAATCTGGCCCTGCCCCGTACCCCAGACGGTAGCAGTCTCGGACGAAAACGTCGTCAAGACGTCGGGCTTCCACCCCTGCTGGCGGCCCCAGTAGTACTGATACTTGCTCAGGTCGAACGCCTCACTAGCCTTGACGCGGGCCAGGTAGACGTAGCTGCCCTGGGCCCAGTCGGTGATTGTGGTCGGCGGGCCGCCCCAGGCGTAGACGTACTCGGAGCGCGGGTCGCGGAAGGCGGCTTTGTCGCCGTAGCGCGGAGTCGTTGTGGCGTTCCACCAGAAGCCGCGGTCGCCGAAGCGTTCTGTGACGGTGGGGGTTCCGTTGAGGACGTCGACTTTTGCGATGCCTGCGCCGACTAGGCCGTCTGAGTTTTGGTTCTGGGGTTTTTGATTAGTTTTCTTCTACATCTCGGTGTGCTCTGGTTTTTAAAACTTTCGGGAGGGGGGAGGGGGGGGATGAGGACTGACAACGAGGTAAAAGACGGCGCCGGTGCCGGTAGTGGCATCCGTCTCAACCAAACTGGTCCCGCCGAACCCGGTATCAAACTTTTCGTCCCAGGACGAGTTGAAGGGGATGAACTGCCTCTGGCGCTGGTTATCACCCAAGTTGAGATCGTGCACGACGAGCGGGTCATCCGTGGTCGCGGAGACGGCGTCGCGGACCATGCCGTGGAAGCCGGGCGTGTCCTGTTCGGGATCAGTGACACCGGCGTCGCACCAGAGCACGTCGCCCCAGACGGCGTACCATTTCCCGGCGATGGCGCCGGTGAAGCCCAGGTCGCGGTGGGAGCAGCTGTTGTCGGCGCGTTGGAAGCCTAGGTACTCTACTGTTGGGTTCACGATCGGGTTCGTGCCGACGGGGGTTGTGCTGTCCATTCTTGCGGTGAGGATTGGGTTTGCGAGGACGAGGTTGTTGATGTTGTTGTTGCTGCTGCTGATGGCTAGGAGGGCCGTGGCGAGTGGGAGGAGGCGCGGGGTTGGGGATTGCATTGCGACGGTGTCGATCTTTTGGAGGGTTGCAATTGACCTCGGCGTGGATGGGGTGACGGGTTCTGCTTGTGAAGGGCGGTGGGATGTGGTTGGTGTGGCTTGTTGAGGTGATCAAGACGGGAATGGAACGCCAGAGTCAACCTAGCTGACTGTAAGTGAGTGTGGGATGGATACAAGTTGGCGCAAAGGAATGAACACGTCCAAATGGAATAATAGAATGAAGGGATGGTGATGCCGGATCGCCTGTAGATTGATGCCAAAATGCGATGATCAAGGCGGGCAATGGGTGGTAATAAGTACGTCTGGCATCGCGATGGCGGGCTGGTGAGTCACGGTTGTATCCAGAACGCCATGGTCTGAAGCCTTCAAAGTCCCGATTTCATGAGAGGAGCCGAACGATGGATGTATGGATGGAAAACCCGCGATGGTGTTGCAGGCCGGAGCGAACCTCGGACGGTCGGACCGCAGATGCTCAACGCCGGAGGTGCGCCACGGCGCCGTGGGGTGGGGCCGGATCTCGTAGGGAAGATTACAAGGGGGCACCAGGGCGTTCACAACGGCAGTGGGCCAGTAGTGGCCGAAACATTGTGGATGACGGGCGGCCGGGTGTGGCGTTGCGGATGTGAGACCGATGTGCTCTTAGGGTACCTAATTTCGCTGCCTTGGAGGGGATGTGGCTATCATGCAATATCCGTGGAGGGGATCGTCGGTGGTGGCTTTGTAGACGGGGCGTATCATGTATGTGATGCTTGATGGATGGTGAGTTGCAGCATGTAGCATGATTGCGTAAATGAAGCTCAGTCACAACCGTAAAATGATAATGCTTTTCCCCATCTTTTCATGATGTTTTTTATGATGTTTTTGTGTCGAGATGAGAAGACCATGCTCAGTAACGTACTCAATCGTTTTCACACATTGCTTCGTATGCCTTATCTCCATGTTGAAGGTAGGATTGGAAAGCAAATGAGAAGCAGATGGACAATTTCAGCTTCTAGGGCATTTCTGCAACGTTTCATCATCTCTTACGATCAAAGTGAGCGTCGGGCTGTTCCGGCTCCTCAGATAAGGCGACGCGCATCAAGATTTCAGTTTCTCATGTTGCGTGCTGAGCTTCTCCTCCCACGATGAGCAGCAAGGGTCGTCGAGCAGGAAAGACATGGTTGACACTACCTTATGAGGTCATGCTCAAGGCAATATGGAAGCTTCATTTGCGATTTCATTAGAGGGAGAGGGAGAGAAAAAGAGAGCCCACGTGGATCTCTTTTGACTCTCTCATGTGCAGTCAGGCTTCACGGAGGGTGAGGTGAGCTCTGCCAGGCACATGCGCGCCCTCAAGGACCCCATTGGCCAACCCCTCTCTCTTGGCCTGCCGAGTCGGGAAGCTCAATGTGCGGGGAGAGGCGGGCAACGGCTTCCGGTGGTGGGGCATCTTTATCCCGTTGTGCCTGTCTCTATTCTGGCCTGGCCATTGACTATTCAACCTTGTTACCTTAGTCTTAACCTTTCTTCTATCACTCGAACGGTTCGCGATGATGGGAGTACTGAGAGTGAACTCATCAACGCTGAGATAACCTTTTCGGAACTGATTGCTTGCTCGCTTCATCCCACGTGCCCCTACTTGACCCGGTTGGCTGGCACCACGATCCCGGGCGAACTCCCCCGCTTCACTACCGACGCGTCCGTCATTTGAGAGACCTGAACGGAGCTTTCGGTAGTCCTTGGCGATTTCTAATGGAACTCTTCCGTGTACATAAGTATGCGCTATTCTTGCGTTTTATATAGCTCTTGGGTTTGCTTTCTGTGCACTGCTGCTGTTGTCTTCTTCATCTCATTCCACGTCATCATGTCGCCCATCTCAAACCTGGCCCTCAAGGCCGCTCTCTGTACGTTGAACATTGATATGCTCTTCTCACCTACAGACTCTGACCATGACCAGTGGTCCCTCTCGTAAATGCCGCCTCATGCAGCAATGAGACCTACACCCACAACGGCCTCAGCTGGTCCGACAGCATCCGCATGAACCAAGTTCAGGTCATCGGCACCCACAACTCATACCACCGCGAGGCGCCCTTGGTAGAACACCCAGCCCAGGCCGCGCTTCTCACCGATGTCCAAAACTACTACTATTCCCACCCGTCCCTCGACATTCAGCTGAACTACCAGTCCATCCGGAATCTCGAGCTCGACATCTATGCCGACCCAAAGGGCGGCCACTACGCCACGCCCCTGATCCGCAAGCTCGCGAACCTTTCCACGACCCCGGATCCCGATCTTCTTGCCCCGGGCATCAAAGTGCTGCATGTCGCCGACGCAGACTACCACCCTACCTGTAAGACTTTCATCGGGTGCTTGAAGATTGTCAAGAAGTGGAGCCACGCGCACCCTGACCACGTCCCCATTCCCTTCATGATCGAATTGAAGACCCCAGACGCCACCCTCACAGCAGCCGGCGGCGCGTCTCAGATTCCCTGGAACGACACGGCGCTGCTCAAGGGCCTTGATCACGAGATCCGCAGCGTCTTCGCGCCCAAGGACCTCATTACCCCCGACGATATTCGCAGGGGCAACTTGACGCTGGAGCAGTCCGTCTTGCGGTACGGTTGGCCCGATTTGGAGAGCGCCCGCGGCCGGGTGCTGTTCCTGATGGACAACGGGCCCGTCAACCCGATCCGTGACACTTACACCGAGGGACACCCCAACCTTGAGGGCCGCGTTCTCTTCACCAACTCGGCGCCCGGAAACTCTGACTGCGCATTTCAAAAGGTGGGTGGCCGACAACTCTTTGCACCTGGGAGTCTCAAGCCGTTTCACTAACGATTATACTGTTTAGCTCAATGACCCCACAGGTACCCAGCAAGCCAATATCAAGGCGCAGGTCAAGGCGGGTTACTGGGTTCGCACGCGCGCCGACATCCCGCTCGATACCTTGCTGTCCAACGACACGACAGGGATGCGCAAAGCTGCGTTCTCGAGCGGCGCGCAAATCGTGACGACCGACTTCCAGGCGTATGGCATGAGCAGCCGCTGGAACGTCGACTACGCCGTTCGCTTCGAGGGCGGTGCGGCGGTGCGGTGCAACCCCGTCAACGGGCCGGCTCACTGCACGAGCAAGGGGTTGGAACCCGATGAATATGTTCGCAACTAGACGGCCATTGCTGGTAAGGAAAGCGAGACGAGGCATTTTTGGACAGTGTAATGATAATAGCGTAATAAAGCAATTTCATGTGCCGGTGTGCGTTGAGGCCATTGCTCCACTTTGTACTCATCAAAAGATGGCTTCCCTCAGTTCTTGAGCGTTCTCTCATCATACGATGGTAGTGTTTAGATGCCTTCTGAACCCGTCGCCCTCTAGCGAGAGGTGGCATTGTCCAATGAAATCCGCTTAACGCTCAACCCTCGACCAAAGTCCCTTCGTCGTGGCTAAGTGCTGACATGAGCTACACCGCTCAGCCTCTTTGCGGGGGGTTAATTCAGTGCTAGTGGGCGAGCTTCATGAGCTGAGCCACAATCGCTCGAACAAGACTGCTTCCGTGCAAGACAAAATGCAACGACTTCTTGTACAATCCAGAGAGCGCAAACCAACCTCAAAGCATCTGCCATGAAACCGACGATTGACTCAACCGGCAGGAGTCCTTTATCCCGCCAGGGGGCCCTGGCGAATGACGCAGGATCGGCCCTTCGTCTGACGGTTCCTGGACCATGAGCGCGGCGCGCCTTCTGACGGCGTGAGTCAACGCGTCCCCAATTGGCCTCATCCCCCCTTCTTCCTCCTCACTGCCTCCCATGCCTTGGACCTTTCTATATAAATGCGGCAGTCACTCTCAAAATGCTTAATCATTCAAAGCTTCATGCTTAGATCTGCCCTCGTCTCCTACTCTTGGAGTCTTCACAAATAAGACACCAAAGAACGGGACGGTCTACGGATAACAAACAGCACCACCCAGCATGGCTACCAACGAGCATTATGACCTCTTATTCCTGACGGACGCCACGGTGTCTATGAGCAGCTGCCTTCAAGCTCTCAGCAAGTCTCTTCCAGACATCATTCGGCTTTCTGCTCTGACGGACTGCTTCGATCGGATTGGAGTCATGGCCTACCGCGACTACTCTGCCACCACGTTGACCGAATGGTCAGGATGGACCTCGGCAAACTCCACGACCTACAACACAATCACACAGACCGAGCTGCTCCAAATGGCCAGCAAGATCAAGGCAGATTCTGGCTGGAACAATGTCGATTGGCCCGAGGCTGCAAAGTCTGGACTCGCCCGAGCCTACAGCGTCATGCGTCCAGAAGCCAACACCATCATCATCCTCTACGCCGATGCTCCTCCTCACCTCCCGGGAACCACAACTAAGAACAGAATTACCGAGATTGAAAGCCTTTCCAAGCCTGGAACCTTCGACGACTGTGGAAAGCACTTTGTCGATTGGGTTACTGGCGCCAAGATCCTTCGCGACAGCGACAAGAAGGCCAAGGTTTTCTCCGTCATCCAGGGTGGCATCAGCGACAGCGTTGCCCCCTTCACCTTCCTCTCGCACATTACGGGGGGAGCCAGCTTCGAGCTCGATAACCGGCATTCCGATATCTCAACTTCGGATGCCATCTCACAGTTGACCACTGGTATCCTGATGGCCTGGATGGGTGTAGGGAAGCACGGCGGTGCAGCATCCGGCCAGCGGACCTTCGCCAGAGCCTGCCAGTACAAAAGTACCTATAAAATTGAGGACATCAAAAGCGAAGAGGACGAGAATGTTGAGCAATACTTTTCTATTGCTCGCCATATGAACTCCACCGTTGAGAGAAACATTGCGTCGACACCTACCAACCTCGACGACCTGCGAAAAGTTGTCGAAGCTCGGAAGACGCCCCTTCTAGACTTCTCAAAGAGATACAAGGCTGATGAATCCTACCGCAATCTTGTTGTCAGCCAACTCGAGCCCCTGATTGTGGCTGATGTCACCACCATTGCCATCAACCCTGTGTTTGGCAGCCTCTGGCGAGCCGTCTGCAACGACCGCGACAACCCAGCTCGTGACGGACTCATCCAGGCCTTTGGGTACTCTATCAACCGCATCCCCGATCCGGAAAAGAAAGCTCGGATGAAGGTCTGGCTCGAAGAATCCTACGACTACGCGGCAGAAATCCTAGAAGCCATCGACAAGGTGCCTGAGCACGAGAGGTACCCCTGCGTCTTTCTCGATCCCACCGAGCAGTTCGAGACCACTGCAGAGGACGGAGATGAAGACGAGCACGCTGAAAAGCGTGCTGTCACCGAATTCACACGAGATGAACTCCTAGAGATTGGCCGCTCCTGCGACAACCGTATCCTGCGGAGACTCGGCCGAGTCCTTACACGGCTGACCTACGTGGCCTGCGAAGAGGACCTGCCAGCTCATATCAGAGCTGATTCCAACGTCGCGCGCATTCCCATGGCTCTCTCGTCTCCTATTCACCAGCGAAAGTTTTGGAAGGTTCTCTTGCATCTCATACTTCCTGGGACCATGTTAGCAGCCCGTCCAGCTGCCCTACTTGCAGCCCTTGCCCTGCGACTGGGCATTCGACCCCTCACGGACACTGCAGATAGAGAACTACTCACTTTCACTACGAGGTGGAACTCTTTGGACATTCCGGAGACCTGGAATGCCAGCTGCCTCTCGCTGCTTCTAGACGCTGACAAGGACTTTGAGAGACGAGTTGCTCGAGGCATAACACACCGTCCAGCTCCGGATGTTCACATTCTCCTTCACAATGACCGGTGTCTGTTCGAGACTCTGGTAGACTACAAGCTCCTCGAGTTGAACCTAAACACGACTCTTCAGGCCAGGATTGGCTGGCAACCTGACAAGTCCAAGGTCGCTCTTGGGCCTATGGTCATTTGCAAGAGTTGCGAATTTCCTCGCTCAGTCACCATCATGGGACCGGACAGCATTTGTGGCCTATGTACTGAGACCTCCCACTGTAGCTGTAAGACCTGTCAGGCTGTCCCAGATCAAGAAGTCCGACGCTGCACCAACGTGGCTCGCGATTATACTGAGGAAACTGAAGCTACGTGGGTCGAATGTTTCACGCCAACATGCCGCGCTCAGTACGTCGTCTACAACCCCCAGGCACTGAACGTGCGGGCCAAGTGCTACTACTGCCGACACCAGGGATCCAACGTGACGAAGAACAAGACCTTATACGAAGCTCCCTGTGTCGAGTGTTCGCAGTGCCGAAACTAGATCATCTGGCCAGAGACATACCGTCCTCACGACCTAGAAATTTCGACCTTCAAGTGCCCCGCTTGCACAACCAACAGAGTCACCATCATCGATTACGAAACCTCGGCCAAGTTGTTGAGCAGCGAGAACGGCGTTTCGTGGCTCCTTCGGAACGACGATTCGACAATAAAGGACCCATTCAACGGCCGGTCTCTGTTCTACACCATCTCTCATGTAGCGGAATCGGGCCGGGAGTCACTTGCAAAGAACGTCGAGGTCATCCCAGCAGCTCAGCAGCAGGCACAGCTCACCATTCGTGGCAAGGCAATCCACAACCAGGATAAAATCTTTGATTCCCTCCGCACGTGGGTACAGTCTCGACGTACCGAGGCTGGAGTTTGCAGCTTATGCTTTTCCAACATCCGGAAGACCGATATTCGGAAGGCTTGTGGTCGCTCTGGCTGCCATCAGCAGATCTGCAATGGTTGCATGAAGGATTGGTACGGTCTCAATGTCCGTGGAAGACTACTCAATCTTGCTGCCCTCTCTTGCCCCTTCTGCCGCCGCCAGCCAACTATCAAGACCGTCTCTAGGTTTGGTATATCCCACATAGGAGACCTGCAGACGGCGGCCACCGACAGAGAATGGATATACGGCTGGTGCAGAGACTGCGGCTTTGCCCGGAGATATGCTGAGCGGGTTTGTGCTACTGGAGCTCCCGAAATCTCGGACTGGTCATGCGATGAGTGCAAGGAGAGCAAGGGTGCCAAGAGGTTAAAGGTGCGCAAGTGCCCCGGTTGCGGCACTCCTACGGAAAAGATGGGCGGGTGTGACCATATTACATGCACCGTTCCAGGGTGCCATGCTCATTGGTGCTTCTTCTGTGGCGAGAATGTCGGCATGGATGATATATACACTCATATGAGTGAGGCTCATGGGGGCATGTGGGCAGGGGGTGACGAGGACGAGGACGAGGACGATTATGGGGACGAATAGGGCAACCCTAGTATCCTTGTTCAAGAGAATGGAAGTGGGTATGATGAGGACGACCTTCATCTCGCACGAATCCGTCTGGAACTCACAGGCTGGAAGTTAGCCTAGGCCCGTGTTTCCTTGCTCTCCTGTATTCGATTCACTTCATGCTTTAAGGACAACAGCAAACATTTGAAGATGAGGAGATTGCAACAAGTGTAATCCTACTTACTCAAGGTAGTTGAGGAACGAATAAATAATATTAATCAACGGTTGTTTCCTTACCTTGCTCTCAAAGACGTTTAGCGAAGGCCAATTCTAACTAATTGTTCCAAGTCGCAAAAGTCGAGGTCCATGTGGCTTCCGGGAACCGACTTTGTTGGCACCTTTGATCACATTTCAAGAATGACATCAGCTGAATCCAAGGACTTATTGAGGCCGTGTAACATCGGCTCGGTGCATCATTCGCGCAATTTGAGGTTGTTTGAGCGATAAGCCGTTGCTTTCGGCTTGCCACAATGAGGCTAAAAAGGACAAATCAAGGCCTTGGCTAGTGCAGATTAACGGCAAGAAGTTGCTGCAGAATAACTGGCGGCGGTTCCAGGTATTTATAAATCTAGCGTTGGTTCAGGCGGCGGGGGTCCTCGATTGAGGAGGCGAGGCCAATCATGGATGCGGATTTGAAGGTTCTGGATACGTCTTATACAGGGGAGGGGTGGTCTAGTGATGGGATTTAGGGGGAGGAGAGAAAGCAGGCTGATTACTACTTGGGAAGCTTCTCGACTAGCGTTGTGCACTTGTTTTTGAATGTGAGGTTTGCTGTTGGGGACGAGGAAGGGGGTTTGAAAGGTACAAGGTGTAGACAGGGTATTCCGCGTTGACCTTTTGGAGGTACTTTGACACGAATGGACTGCGTGATCCTCTTGCCTCCGTCAAAGAGAACCCCTAGTTGTCATGGAATAGAAGCTGACGACGAGCAACAGGGGCCGCGATACCTTTCGGTCGCCGTCTAACGTACCGATTCGTATTCGCCGCGTTCTGGTCCGCCGCCGCTCGGTGATCCCGGGGTGGTCAAGGGACCCTTGCTGCGGCATCTCCGGTGGTGGACGGGACGTACCGTACCGACATGTTTAACACGGACGGCACGATGTAGCATGGGGTTCGCGTATGCTAAGATGTACTTTATCGAGGACTACAAATCGCCGCAGTCCATTTACTGGTGTCTCAAGAGCTTTGTCATCTTTGGGAGGTGCAGAGGAAAAGGCTCAACCGATCCGGAGCCTGACGCCCTTGTTTCTGTCGCCGAGAAATGGAGTGATGCCGAGGAAGTAGTCGGGTTTGGTGCCTGTCAAAGTAGTCTGGCCGACGCGGTACGTCCTCTGCAATGCGGCAAAGCATCACTCTTTCTCTCCTCGGGCCAGATGATCAAGAAGAACTTCGAGAGGTGGGGGAGAAGGCAAAGTGCGGCAAGTTTGCGTATTCGTCCGGCTTTTCGTTTAGTGTTCCCACGAAGGTGCTGCTTCCGTAGATGCCGTCCGATAGCACGTTGGCTGCGAGTATCGGCGGGGGTTAGAGTCGGCAGCGTGAGGTGGGAGGCGACGGATGTAACGGTCGAGACGGCGAGGGCGTCGCTGGTTGACACGTCCTTGGAAGTGCCGTCTCGAGTCAGTGTCTGGAAGCCGTAAGCCGTGAAAATGGCTCGAGTTGGAGGCCGAAACTTTGCTGGTTCCTATCATAGAGATCTTTGCCCGGATGGCATGTACGAGTTCACAAGGTTTGATGAAATCTCGAAGTGGAAATTCTGTCGTGGTTGGGGAGTGTACAGCTATCGATTCGTTTACGTTGAAAGGGAAATTTCTTCCCAACAGGGTTGCTTACGAAGTGGATGGACAGTGTTTCACCGAGGACATTGACAGGTGTATTGTTATCTAGGAAGCTGGGGCCAGTGGTATTTCTGCCATCGTGGTCGAAGGAGACGGGTTACGGGTTACGGGTTAAGGGGGGACGTCGATAGAGTGGCGTGGGTGTTGAGAGCGGATCCCAATACCAACCTCATCGTGCAGAGGTCGTTTTTTCCTGCTGTCAATCATCAGTTCAGTCTTCGACAGGGCGAGGAGGACGGGGACGGAACAGCAGTAGACTTGGCCTGGATCGCTACCGGGGTGTCTGCTATCAGTGTAGCATCCGGGATTGGCGTGAAGAAGGTCAGGGGCTGGTAGGATAAGAGGCTTCGGTTTCTGATCGAATCGAACAGGAACGAAGCGATAGATGGATCATCCGGGTCTCTAGAAATTGTTTGTGTCCCATGGTAATTGTATTACTAAGGACCGGAAAGCCTAGTCGGAGAAAAGGGTGCCAAATGCATTAGTCCTGTGGTAGAGTCATAATCTTGAGGAATCTATTCCGCACTCGTCACGAGGAGGTGATTGTACTTACTAAGAGTCGCACCTCCCATAGTGCCAAGTCAAAGTCATTTCTTTGCCACCCCATCTATTGCTACATGTAGGTATCAAGGAGAGCATGCACTGAAAATTCCCGCAGTGACGGCCAAGCGACCAAGGTCACATTCCGATCATTGATGTATCCTGCAAGTGATATGCACCCAAGGCCAATGGACCTTGGAGCATCCCTGTGACGTACACATGTTTTCTTTTCTCGCTATCGCTATCAATCGAGGTACAATGCTTGTCATGGCGCGAAGCTTGTCGCAATCTACAAGTAGTCCGAACAGCGGCGAGGGAACCGCAAACCCGAGTCGATCTCGTGCGCCACTTAGACGACTCGAGAGTTTCACGCGGACCGAAGCCGTTGTCGTCACGCGGAACGGACGGTCCGAGCAGATCTCGAAAGGGAAAAAAAAAAAAAAAAAAAAAGGCTTCTTACGGACTGAACTATTCTTTGTCGTTCCTACCGTGGCAGATGACAAAGGTTGACATGTCATAAACCTTGGGGGGCCTCGCTGTACAAAGTTTCACTAAGTTTCCCGCTTGGGCTCCGGCGGCCCCCAAATCCCCAAATTCCCGCCATAGCCGTGAACTCCAAATAACCTTTTCGCTCTCCGCGCTTGTCCGCGCCTGTCCGCGTACCCGCCGAGTCCGGCTGCCCTGGCCATGTCTCAGTCCCAATCCAGTAACGCCACCAGCCCCTGTTAACGAGAGATGGCATCGGATCTTTGTCAAGTGACTATAGTTTGTAAGATGCTCCCTACCATAGCGAGACGCCTGATAATCTCGCTGTCGTTTGTAGAATTTCAAGTAGAATAGAGCATTCGTATAAGAAGAAGAGGAAGAAGAAGTAGTAGTAGAAGAAGAAGAGGGAAGAATATAAAAAAAAAAAAAAAACAGACTAGAGAACGACGGGCCTGGCGCGCGCCATGGGGTCTAGTTGTACGTCGTCGCCGCCAACTCCTATAATCTCCATGGGCCAAGCCAGCAGACCTGCCCATGGAGTTCCGATCAAGTGCTGCGAGATGAGCGAAATCAAAGACCGGGCCCATCCGTTTAGGAACCAGCAAAACGGCTCTGCCATGTGGACAATGACGCAGAAGTGCGCCAGCACCACCAAGGCCGCCGGGTGGCGCCGGCGCAGCATGTCCAGGTAGTCACTAGTCATGAGGATGGGCCACAAGAACACCGCACGGAACTCCACGGGCGCCGACAAGGCGTTGAACGTAGAGACCTTGGCGATGCACTCGCTCAAGGCGATCACCGCGTTGGTGATGGCATATTTCCCCTCGTGCTCGACGACACCGATCTCGGCGAGCTGGGAGCTCAGGCGTGGGAGCCGTTCAAAGAGCGGCTGCAGCGTCGCCTCCACGGTGGACGGCGTGGTATCGCCGGACCCGCGGATGAAGATTTCGCGCAATGGGCCTTTGCGCAGATCCTCGTCGGACGCACGAAGGATCATGCTCATGCCGTCGGTGAGGGTAAAGATGTCGAGCATACTATCAATCGGGGAGAAGGAAGAGTTGTATTTCTCGTAGCTCGGGTAGGTGGCGAAGGCGCTCAGGGTGAGGAAGATGGACGAAGCGAAGAGGGCGTGGCAGTTTGTGGACGAGATTGTGCCCAGGAGAGCGCCTCTCATGCCGTTGATTGCGTCATTCTGATGCTGAGCAGCTTGCATCAGGTAGGCATGGCGGCAGTCGGGCTGGAGGTAGGCCAGATGGTAGGCCGAGAAGGCGAGGATCTGGTGAAGGAGGAAGGGATAGGAGAGAGCCTCCCTGGGTACGTCGTACTGGAGCGTCTTCTGGGCCAAGGAAGATTGTGAAAAGGTTCGGTATGACACAGATGTATAATGGTGCATAAGCTCGAGATCAGAGATCCAGCCGCTGGCCCTCTCCGTCTTGTTCAGATCGGTCAGGAATCTAGAGAAGTAGGGAAACGGATCCGACTGCGACGAAGGAGACGTCTGGCCTCCTCCGACGGAGCTAGACGCGCTCTGCTGGCCCCCGAGTGATCCGACGGCTGACTGTGGCGACAGAGATGCCGGAGACTGCGCGCTTGACCGGCGTTGGAGTGCCGATGCCGAGCCCTGAGAGCCCCGCGACGCGTTAGTTTGCGAAACCGAGGCCCTACGCAACCCCGAGGCTGGTGAAGGGAGGGAAAAGGGCGGCTAGAGGATGAAGCTTACCCGCGAGCCCGACCTCTTGGTACGTTGCTCCGGCGGCGGCGGCGGCTGCTGGGTCATGGACTGAGAAGATGCGCCTATTGACGCTCCCGTGTTTTCTAGACTGCATGGCAGTCCGTGGCGTACACAAGCGCTACAAGGCTTGTTTTCGTCACACTGCGTTGGGCCCATAGCCCGTTAGTCTCTCGGCCGAATGCACAAGTGCGACCTGGGATAGGAAAAAGGGGAGCGGGCCCTCGAAGATCAAACCAATTCATCATTGGGATTTTGATTCTGATGACATACTTTGACTCTTCTCTCCTTGCATCTCAAGCACCCGTTGCGTGATTTTCTGTAGCCCAGACGCTTCATGGTGATGTTGTGGTGTTTGCTGCAAAGTAGTCAAGGCCAAAGAGATGCATCGAGGGCGGTTGGAATAGCCACCCGAGAACGAAGACGATAACGAGATAGGGAGGAACGAGGTCTAATAAATAAGGACGAGCTAGTGGGGTGAGGGATCCTGCGGATCAGAGTGTTTTCCTCTGTTTATACAAGCAGGTAAACCACACCGCTGCGGTTCGCGATCCGCGGCTCAACTTATGGGAGGTTACTCTTATATCGAGCCTTGTCGAACGCTGTTGCGCATCCCGGCCGAGCGAGGCTAGGGCTGATATGGAAGTGGACGGCTGGGCCGAGGATTTTCGTCCGATCTGGGTGGCCGGGGGGGGGGGAGTTAGGGGGAGTACAAGGGAATAAGGTGGACAAGGGAATAAGGGTACAATCAGGCCCGAATAACGCGGTACTGACGTATCATATTTTCTAAAAGGGCAAAGCAGCGGTACGTTCCCAAGTAGGCATGTACCTGGAGATATGAATAGGACATCTGCGGGGAACGCCAAGACTCGAGTCTGCCATTTGCACACCTGGACTTCAACACTCAAATTCAGCACCGCTGGACTGGGGTCCGGTCGATATTTAACCCCAGCTACAGACTCCGCAGTGCGAGAAGGACAAGATGGAGGGATGTTGAATAATCGGCGAGGGCAGACAAAAGGAAGGGAAGGCAAAAAAGAAAAAGAAAAATTGGAGAATTGAAGCTTACTGCCTTTGGTTCCTTTGGTATCGTGTCGGTGTTGAAGGTGTGGGGGTGACGGTGTCAGCGGTGCGGAACTGCGTCACGTCAAGACCTCCGGCGTGCGGGCGGAGATACTTGGCCACACCCTGGCCCCGGTTGCCGTGCGGGAGACTTGTGAATATTTCCCCGAGAAGCAGAAAAAAAAAAAAAGAGAACTTGGCGTACGAATACTTGTCCGCGGGAGGAGCGGCGGGAGCAGTCGGCATCGGCTGACCCTTGTGCGTGTGCGTCAGTGTGGGGGATACCCATCCATCACACTTGACATCACTCCCGGGTGAGTCGCTCCCAACGTGGCTCTTCTAAGCGCATTGACAGCCTTGCATGGGTTGGCTGAATATAGAACCAGTGAAACGGCGTCTTTGGGATGTGCGACCGGCGAGGAAATGGGACGAAAGGTCCACGGACATTTGGGACGGAGGGGGTGAAGGCACTGAAGGATTGGGACTGGAAGCAGTAGAAAATATTACCTGCGAATCGCCAACACTTTTGGTTAGAGATTGTGTGTAAATTGGTAGAAAGCTTTTATGAATTTTCATGTTCCCTTACGGTACGGGTACGACGAGAAAATATCGTGGTTCAACAAGCCAAGGCCTGTAGTCGTCAGTCGAGACTCTTCATCCCGCGTCGCCAAGGCCCGACTCAGCCTAACGGGTACCTACCTACCTACGGATACCTACCTACGGATACCTACCTACGGATACCTACCGACCTACCTACCTACATGGAGCATCTAAGCCTCAATCTTGCGTCGCCGGGTCACCGGCCACTCCCAAGGTTCCATTCCCCTTCCCGCACCGCCCACAATCGCAACGATTAGAGTTCTCAAGTTCTTCAGCAGACGCCATAAAAAGCCTCAAGTCGGCGGAGTTCCAGACCAGATGATGAGAATTGAGATGGAGAACCCGACAGGGAATCGTCGGGTTGCGGCAAGGTCTTGGCAGATATTCTCGTGCATGCTGGGCCTCCCGTGGAACCCGTGGGAATTGGGTCACAGGGAGAGCAAAGCCACGACCGCGCCGCGGCCCTTCTCCTCCTGACGAAGAGAAACCACACTCCCCCGGCTGGCCGCCAGCCGTGTACACCGGTCGGCGATTGGCTTGGCCGAGTGGCCGACCAATTGCTGTGGAGTCCGAAAACGAGTCATCTCCACGCCTTTAAGTGGGATCATGTCTCGTACACTACAGTACGTACGTCGTCGGGAAAAGACCTCTACTACAGTACCCCCTTGGCCCAATCATGCCCTGCATTGATCTGATTATTTCAGTTAGAGGGGGCACACGCGATCTCACTCTAGTTCTAACTCTGACTAGCAAGCTGTCCAGACTTTCTGTCCATAAGGTCCCTCCACGGCTGCACGGCTGCCGCGACACCTGTCAATTTACGGATACTCGGCTCTAATGGCCGGCCGTGGTGAACCCCGTTGTTGGCGAAGTGGTGCGGCTGAAAGCACATCTCTCCCTCCTTTCCTCATCTCATCTCGTTCTCTTTTGCAGGGTCCGTATATCATATTATACGCATACCATTCGGAGCAAAAAAGCCGAGATGGCTTTCATTCGTTGTCAACTTCAAGATTTGCAAATACAGCAGCAGCAATGGCAAAAGTGAAAGATAAGTAGGTAGCTTTGGGTTTCAAATTTTCACGATGGCAGACTTGGTGTTTCAAAACGTGTTCATCTCACGTCAAATTGAGGGGTGATCATGGATCAATACAATCACTTCGCTCACAACTAATCAGACCTTCCTAGCACCATCGAATTGCTCATTGATTTTGGCCTTTGGACGTCGTTGAAAGCTTCTTCCTCACGTTGAAAGATGTGGCCGCTGCATGTGCACGTATCGCAAAATGACCAACGACTCTGACGAGTACGAACCTTCGCTTACCGCGGCGATCCTACTTACAATACCTTATGCTTCGGTATTTCTGCGATTGGTCAAACCTTTCAAATGTCGAAGCCCCCAACATGGTGCTTCATCCCATTCTTCATCGATTGTCCTGGTAAGAATCTTCGACCATCTTCCTGCCTTTTTGACATCATTAACATGGAATCTTGCAGTCAAGATCATTGGCTTCGCGGCGCGGGCGATCAATGCTATCGAGACCCCCGATTGGACCAGAGGTACATACATCATCCAAGCTCTTCTGTTGCTTCTTGGGCCTCCCTTCTATGTGGCATCGATCTACATGGTCTTTGGACGATGAATCACACTGCTTCTTGCGGAGAAACATTCATCCATTCGAGTCAAGTCATGATGTCTGAAACTTTGCCGGCAAACAACTTCGTGAAGGTAGTGGCCCCCTCCCTGGTGCTGATAGGATGAAGCAGAGGGCTCGCGGACATATGAAAACCATCCTCGGCTTAGCCATCCAGATTGTCTTTTTCGGGTTCTTCATGGTGGTCTTCATGGTGGTGACCGCCTTGTTCCACTACCGTATGAAGCGTGGACCCACTTCGAGGAGCTTGTCGATCTCGAATCCTTGGCAGAGGCTGTTGACGGTTCTCTATGGGAAAAAGCTTACGATTCATGATTTGAACAGTCTTCTGAGTCATCAAACATGTCACGTGAGAAGATGGGGAGCTCCAAACTAAGGCCGTGCACCTGTGTATCTTCGATGCCCTCTTGGTCTTGATTGTTTC